GGCCTCCAGCCACGCCACGCTCAGTATTCAAGCTTTTACGGACACTACAGCTGAAGAAGTAGCACTGAAGTGCTCATGTCGCCTCAAAGCCATGATCATGTGCCAAGGCTGTGGTGCTTTTTGCCATGATGATTGCATTGGACCTTCCAAACTCTGTGTTTCGTGCTTGGTGGTCAGATAGTGTGTTCTAGTCTCTGTGCACTGTGGAATTGCAGTCTGTAAAATACCAGCAGCATTATTGGGCAGCTTCGGAGTGTACAGAAGCCTAATGAGGCTAGAGAACACAGGGCAATCCAGACTGGCAAAACATGTCTTGTAAAATAAGTTTCTTTTGTTGTTGCAGATTTTGTGAGGCTTTTTTTTTTTTTTTTTTCTTCTAGGTGTATTGATTTATATTATTGTTGTTGTGAATCTGGGGCATGCTTAACTGTGTAAATCTTGCCATTTACCTCATTGTCTTGCTCCATTTTGCATCATTTGGAGGTCACTGATTTTTTTTTATGTCTTATTTGCTCTGCAAATAGGAACTGACTGTATGTCCAAAGAAATATTTTTTTATCCATTAAAACAAGTAAATAAAATGTCACCTTATTTGACTCATGCTATAATTATCTGCAACTGGGCTCAGATTTAAATACAGTTGACATTTGAAGGAATAATTATTATTGGAAAGTGTTATGTTTTGCAGCCACATTGTATCATTTTATAGCGCTCAAGTGACTTCTGTGTACAGTATATCAAATATGACTTCAAAAAAAATTGACTTTGTAATTTGACACCTTTAAATTGGGCGTCTGTCTCTTTAAGAAGCTCCTGCTCTTTGCAGCGCTCTGGCTTCAGAAAGTTACTAGAACCGCCAAGGTGGCGCTCGGTTTTGCCAAGCGTTTTGCACACCTGCATGGTCGCCACGGGAGATTAATTGATTTCTCAAACATGCATGGAAGAATCAAAGCATCAAAAACATATGTTTTCTATAACATGATATAAAAACCAATCTCATCAGTTTGATCTCTCTGGATACAATTCAGCGCAGTGAAAATGTGCAGAAGTAGAGTCGTTAAGAAAACACTTGATGTGCTGATATGAGAAGTAGCCCAGTACAGCTCAAAAAGGTCTTTTACATTTTACTACCCCTTTAAAAAATCTGAATAGGGCTGAAGATACAACTTTTGCTATCGATAATATTTCTAAGATATATTAAAAAAATGTACTGGTGGCTTATGGATTTCGTATAGGTCTTGTGAGAAATGGTACAGATTACATTCCATGTAGAAATTTTTGTAAATTTAGTCAACCAGAATAAACTGAATTACTCAATTATTGATTTAAAACTTTAAGGACTCATTTATGTCATGTGAATTTTGTAGGTCAGATCTTTAAAAAAAAAAAAAAAAAATATATATATATATATATATTTATGTCATATTAATGAGGATTTAACCTTTGATTTGGTGTAGAACTTGACAAACTCTTCTGATGAGTCGATGCTCACACGGCTGATTTTAGAAGAATTTTACATTGGAAGGGATAAAATATCGGCCTGGAATTTTTCTGAACATTTGGATTGTAAGTGGAAATCTTAAATACAGGTTTATTTACCCCCAAAACTATGTGCTCGTTTTAACGATTGTAGGATTAAGAAAGGTAACAAACCGAAACCTAATCTGAATGGGAATGCAAAGATGTAAATATTTCCATATTCTGACCTAGACAGAATAACTCAGAATACTGAAATATTCTGACCTGTGGAGTTTATCCAAAATGTAATGGCAAGAAGATGCAATAAAATATATTAAACATTTAGTAAAACTTGATCAGAATGTGCTTCTGTCATTGTACAGAAGCGCAACAAAATTTCTTTTTCAGTACAGCCTGTTTGTTCCCTGTAAGCTGAAAACTCTGAGCTTCTGACCGTGATTGAATTGTTTACCCATTTAGGAGTGCAACTCTCTGACCGCGAAGGTTTACATCGGGTCCAGACTGTGACCCAATGTTTTCAAACACGCACGCTCTGAAAATTAAAACAGATTATGAAGAAATATTACACCTGTCTGAATTCAAATGTGATAAAGACTACAAAAAGAGATGAAGAGAACCGATGAGACGTACTGCGACTGAACAGCTGGAACAAACCAAACAAGACGTTTCACCCTTTGGAGTCGAGTTTAATTCCCTGGTTTAGACCTTGGTTGCATTTTGTTCTGCAATATCTTCCTCCATCCGTCAGCTAGACAGTTTTCCAAATTGCTTACAGACAGACTATGAAGTTAGAACTTGGTAACCTCACTAAATTCCTAAGAGAAGCACATTTGACGCTATGAAAATATTCATTTCCAAGACCAAGCTGCAAACAGCAGGATCATCGGTGTGACCTGAGCAGCTGGGTGACAGAAAGGAGCGTGAAGAGCAGCTGGGTGACAGAAAGGAGCGTGAAGAGCAGCTGGGTGACAGAAAGGAGCGTGAAGAGCAGCTGGGTGACAGGACGCTGTGGAGGAGCATGAACTCACATAGTTGGAAGTAACTACATTTACTCAGTTACATTTACTTTTAGGAGTATTTTTTACTACACTGTTCTTTTTGCTTTTATTTGAGTCATTTTAATGTAAAGTATCGCATCTCTTGTGTAAAATTTCTGGATTCTCTACCCAATGAAGGAAAAACAAACATGTTTCATCCAAAAAATCACCAGACACAGTCAGACACACTTAGTTTTTGTTAAAGTTTTATACATTTTATATTGAAAGAAATTGAGTTTGAAAACTGTTTCCTTTGCCTGATTTTATTTTTGTTTTACTCATGAATTGTTGTTTTGGTCCTTAAAATAACAAAATTTCTACTTCATATTTTTGGTCGTTTTTAAATATTACATGATAATTTGATCAATTACTCAACACTTGAGTAGACATGTTACCAAATACTTTTTTACTCTGACTCGAGTCACTTCTTGGATGAAAGCAGCTGTGCCCCAATTGCAATTTTCTAGCCGATCACAGATCTTCTAAAAACCTGACTTGCTGATTTTGTGTATCTGTGTGTGTGTGTGCGTGCAAAATATAGCAAAAAAAAGTCACTAAGTTGGCAACCACGGGGTGACTGATGTAACACTTCGATGGGGAGATGACCTGGTGACATCAGACCTCTCATGGTGGACAGTGGCAGATATTTGTGACGTTGAGGTTGGTGGATAGGATGGATTCCACAAGTAAGTCACGGCCAAGCACCGACCACCCAAAGGGAAGGAAATAAATATCTGTGTCTGTGTGTCTGTGTGCATGTTCAAAGTGTATAACCATGATTAAGTAGGGCCCACACCTTGGCTCAAGGGCCCCACACCCTCCTAAATCCGGCCTTGACTGTGAGAGACATAATTTAAAAAAAATCCGGAAATCACAATGTGTGATTTTTTTAAAATAATTTGTGTGTTACTTCTGCAAATGTTTCTCGGCTTTCCTGGGCCCCTGGAGGAGCTGGAACAAGTGGCTGGGGAGGGAGAGGGAAGTCTGGGACTCCTTACCTTTATTTGAAAGTAGTTTGACAGGGAACAGGGAAATGAGAGAGGGGGAAGGCATGCGGCAAATGTTGCCAGGCCAGGAATCGAGCCTGTGACCACTGCCACAAGTGGGTGGTGCTTTGCCCCTGCGCCACCACTGCACCCCAATTGTGTGGTTTTATAGGCTCCATGTTGAAGATGGTAAGAAATAAAGGCATCCTTTCGTTTTTGCAGCCATCTGCTCTGCGGTGTCGCCCCCTCTGCTCTCAGCTCTCGCACACAGAGCCGTCGTCCGGCGGTAATGCTCAGCACCTCCCTCCCGTTTCAGACTCTTCCTATTAAAGTAAAAGTGAGGGAGCTAAATATTGTCATGGACTTGAAAAGCCCTGTTCCCGGGCGATCCCCACACAACCTGACAGAGCTTCAGCAGTTTCGCAAGGAAGAAAAAAGTAAAACTGTTGTGTCTGGATGAGCAAACTTGTACTTCAGTCACAGCACAGACTTAAATACTGACTTCAAAGAGCGACTATTCATGCAGTCACTTATTTTATGTTAAATATTTACATGATATTGCCATTCTTTTGCAGAAGTCAGTTTTTTTGTTACTTTCAAACTAAAAAGAGGTGGAGGAATTAAACAAAAAAGTCAAATTATTTTTGATTTGTAAAAGCAAAGCAAAACATTAAAGAGGATGGCATTTTTTTTCATAGGCACAGTGTTTTAATGTTTAATACAGTAGACATTGTGTTTGTACCGTGGAGCTTTCTGGTGCGTCGCTTAAACAAAGAGCAATGGTGTCAGAATACCTGAAGACTACAACAGATTTATGGTAGCTTTACTTTTATTTCAAGATGAAGGTAAAGGCTAATCAATTTACAACCATCATTAGCACATAGACAATAAAAAATAAATATTCACCATCACTTTTTTTTTTATAACCAAATAAATACCAAATATGCACAACTCCGCCTCCTTTTCTTTACTGTATAGCAGTGTATTCAAAATAGTTTGGGGAAATAAAAAGCAAAAAGTACAGAAGCACAAAATCTTTACAAAATTATTTAAAAACTTGTAGTTACAAAATTTTTGCACATAAAAAGATCCCAGTACATAAATAAACAATAAGATATAGAAAATAATTCATAGTTGATATCTTAAAATATTTCCTCTTTGTTCAGCCACGAAGGAAACAACCATTTGTCTCTTATTGTGTTGGAATATTTTAAATTTGGATTTTTGGAATAACTTAAAAAGCAGATAAATAATAATAATAATAATAATAATAATAATAATAATAATTAGCTAGAAATGCAGCAAATATGAGTAGTTAGTTATTCAACTAACAATTGCACAGGACACAAATAGTTACACAACAATAGCAAAATAAACCTACAAACTAGGTATTGGAGGTGCAACAACACTAATCTAATGTAGAGTACTATCAGATTTCTTGGGATATGGTAATAACTAAGAGTCACTTAAGCTCAGGCTATTTTCTGCTCTTTTTTTATTATTATTTTGTTCTGCACACATTTCCTGGTTATGCACTTTGTCTTCCTGACTTAAAGTAACCTTTGGATGCCAGCGCGGTGACACACACTCGACATGCAGTCGTCTGTTCTGGCTCATACGTCATCCAACAACATGCTTAAAAAAACAAAACAAAAAAAACTAGTGGAGTTATTAAATAACCGAGTAAGAAGAATGATCACATACAGTATGTAAGAACTCAGAAGAAATGTGGCAGCTGCTTGTTTCGTCGTCGTCTTGCATCATACCTCTATGCCTTTTACCGCTTGGCTGATGGACTCCAGCAGGGCCCGGGTGTCGGGGTTTTGGTAGCAGTCCTTATTGGTGAACATGTACGTCAGAGTCTCCACATAATTATCGAAGTTCTGCTCGGACACTGGTTCCTGCTGAAAACACGAGTTCAGAAGTCAAGATTAGTTTTCAGGATCAATTCATAAATGTGTGCAGTTGATTTGGAGAGTCAGTGTGGAGAATTGATCTGTTCTCCGTGCTGAGTCCTCGATGTGTGAGGTTGAAGCAGAGTCGGTGAGTTGAATTCATGAATTGCATTTATTAACACCGAAATACAGCTGGTCCATTTCTCATGCTACCTTTAGGAGTTAGCAGGACAAAATGGCATCAAACAAAAGTTTTTCATTCCCTTTGTTAGCCTCTAACTAAGCTAGGCCCTAAAGAGGGCGTTCCCTAGTGCGTCATATCCTCTACCCTTAGCTTTGAGGGCGTTTCGTAACATGTCATTTCCTTTAGCTTTGCAGCTAGCTAAAAGAGATAGAAGGAAAAACACAGACAGCCAGGTAAGTCAGGCCCTAATTGTTTTCATTAATTAAGAATTACGTCCTTGGATAGAAATTTCTACATTTTTACACCCTGATTAAAAAAAACAACAACCTCTGTTTCATTAATAACCCTCTGAACACCAGAGAGGAAGAGTAATCTGAATTACTTGTTTTATACATAAAAAGAAAAAAAATGACAGGAATTTGCTTGTTTTATTCCTTTATTATTTGAACCTTGACACGACTCACCATGGTAGGCAGGCGGATGTTGGCCAGGCTGCGAATTAATACCTGACTCAGACCAGATAGCTCCAAGAACAGAGCTTCATTCTTCTCCTCTATCTGTTTATTTTCCTCCTCCATGTTCTTTAGGTTCTTCTCCATTGAAGAAATCTGTAGCAGAAAGACAAAAGTTCTGCATTGGGTTTGGCAAAAGACAGATTTCAAATGTTCAACCCTGGTTCTGTAATAGACACGTTTCCAAGGCTGTTTAAGTTGAGTCTAATTAAAGAGGCAGACAAAATGCCTCTTTAATTAATAAACTTTATTCTTCTTAGAATAAATCCACACAGGCTTAAAATATCTAACCCTAACCATCAATGAATAGTGACTGACTTATTTCTATTTCTCTTTAAATCTGCAACGTTCTCACTGTGATAATCGTTTCCACGCAGTGGCAAAAAGTAGTCAACCGTCTCTCTGCTCTCGGCTACTGCAGAGCGATCTGATTACATCCGAAAATCACAGAACTCGCATTAATCTCACCTGAGTGTGCAAATTCATCATGTCGGCCTCCATCTCTGCGTTGGACTCATTCAGGTCACTGATGTCCTTGTTCAGCTGCTTGATATCTTCATCATTATCCAGAACTGGTGGACAGAATCACATACAGTGTGTAAACATATTATATCTGCCTGTCACGTGTTACAGTAATAGCTTCCTTCCTGGGCTGGAGCTGCATATTTTGGTATTGATTTCGCGAGGGTACACACGCAGAGGTTTGGGACGTGTTTAATCTCCAGCTGCTCCCAAATTGATGTTTTGGATTGAATTGATTTGATGACAACAGTCAGGTCATCAGGGGGGAATGCAGGAGGACAGAAACGAAGTAGGTAAAGGACTGGGTTCACGTCTCATTTGAAGCACTAAAGGAAAGTAGAAATTATCATTACAGAGCTGTAAAGATTTCCAAACTACTTATTTTTCCAGGATTATTAATTCCAATTTGTATGACTTTTGTTACAGGATCTATTTCTCTATTTGTTTTTGGTTAAATCTTAAAATTTTGATTATTTTATTTCATTAATTTGCTTCTTTTTTAGTTGATTCATTATGAGTATATTTGTTTTTGTTTCTAAGAGTCAGTTTGTTGGTTGGTATTTTATTTAATTAATTTAATTAATCCCTTTGTGTCTCTCAGAGTTCATCACTGTACCCAGATTTTGGGCCAGCTCAGCACTGCTGAGTCGGCAGTATGTTCTGACTCTCGATTGTTTTCCTCCTTTAGCCATAAAATAATTTCTTCAGTTTTGTTCTCATTCAGCTGCAGAAAGCTGTGGCACATCCCCGCTTTGGTTTGTTCTGTGACTGCACTTAACGCTCCAGTGGGTGTCATCTGTGTGTCATAAACTAACTCATTTTATATTCTACACATCGCTGACCACGATAATTGCAGTTTATTTACCGAAGAGCACAGGAACGAGACTCAGAATGAAAAAATAAAAGGCAAATAGACTAGTAATAGAAATATGAATGTTTTTTTCTGATTATGCCTAAAATAATCTAAATAAAACAGTGTAAATCCATGGCAAACATCATTGCTGTGTTTGTCTTACCGTCGCTTGCTCTGAACTTTGCTGTTATATATTCGTCTCCAGGAAGCTTGACTTTCTTCTTGCTGGCTGGAGCTCTCGGACAACCTGAGAGACTAAAGCAGATTATTGTCATGATTTTTATAGCTCAACAGATTTTGAAGCCTCAAGGAGAGAAGAAATTACTTTGCCAGATTACTGCATCAGTGTGCACCTGTCACATCCACTGCATAGTTCAATTTCATCATTTTAGTTTAAGATAATTTTTTGTCACACTGTAATGGAAAATTCTAATTTTCACTGAAATGCCCGCTTGCTGATTCCTGTATGTTTTTGTGGGATATGACATTGAGAAAGCAAAAAAAAAGAGAAAAAAAATCAACAAAAAACTGTGGTTCTAACAGACCAGTTTAAAAATCAAAATGCATTTTTAAAAAGTTGTAAATACTGCAGAAATCTCGACTTCCTGATGAGTACGTTTGTAAACTGTTTCACTTTTGTGCCATTAGAATAGTTATAAGCATAATTCTTTAAAATCTACATTGCTCAATAAAGTATAGTGTTCAACATCCAACCACTCCACACATCCAAATGTACTTGGACAAGACACTAAAACCAACATTTTCTACAAAAAGCAGGATACCTGCGGTGTGTCAAGAAACTGCCATTAGCATGACCAGAACCGTCACAGCCTGGTGTCGGGCAGGTCGGGCCTTCGGTCTTAAAGGCCTTCCAAGAGAAAGGAGTGCCATTTAGTAGACCTTCCCTCTGTCGCTTTGCTGCAAGGGGACAGCCATAGGCACTACGGTGGGTAGCATACTTTCCACTGATGTGTCCAAGACTGTCACAGCCAGGAACTGGACACCTGCAGATAAGCAGAAATCCTAATTTGACTAAATGCTTTCTTCATGTCCCATTCAATACATTTTTTGGTGAATGCATGTCGGTAAGGTAAAATGTTTTAGAGTTGCACAAAAACTACGGCCTTTGCAGTTTGATCTGATTATTATTTAAAATCGCTTATTGTATGTTGTCTCTATCCTGACACAAACGACTGTCCGGCCCACGAGAACAACCGCATCGTTAATTTGCTGACGACACCACGGTGATCGGACTCCTCTCACAGGGTGATGAGGCGGAGAGAGTGTTCAGAGAGTAACCTCACTCTGGACCCCAAGAAAACCAAGGAGGCCACCATGAACTTCAGGAAGCTCAGCACCGACCCAGGCACTCTGAGAGGGTCCACACCTTCAGGTTTCTTAGCGTCCTCATCTCCTGGACTGACTACATCACAGCAGTGATCATCGAGGCTCAGCAGCAGCTACACTTCCTGAGAATCCTCAAGAAGCACAAACTGAACTCCAAGCTGCTATTATCCATTGATGGCCTGCTGACATACAGCATCGCACTGTGGTACGGCAGCTGCTGCACTGTTGCATACAGGGTGATGCTTCAGGGGGTTGTTAAGACCATTCAGAGGATCGTTGGCTGGATGATTGGCTTCTATATTGCATTCTGGATTTGTACAACCGACTCCAGAGGAATCGTACCTCACCAGTCATGAACCTCACTGCTACCTGTGGCGGTGAAAGTGAAAAGGCTCTACACAGGTGAGTTTGACTCTACAGTGTGTTCTGTTGAGGCAGACGCTCTGCAGAAACTTTACAAGCTGCTTTTTTTTGCCTAGCTATAAAGTGTGGACAGCACAATCGTGCAAAAATCATCAGCTGTTTGCTAATGTTTATTTGTCAATGTAATGTTAATCATTTCAGGAAACAACCTTACCTAACCATAACATTCCATCCACTGTCTGAAGCTCACTCAAAGCCCCATCCAGAGGCCGGCAAATTGACAGAAACAGGTGCAACCGAAGTAAAAAAAACACCCAAACACAAGCTTAGTGGTGTGTTACATGTAGTCCAGTGTAGGGAGAAACTAAACAGCATCTACACACAAATAGTCCAACACTTTATTGAGCAAAACTTAGCAGTCCATGTACATCTCATGAACAAGGGATACTGGTTTGAAGAGAGAAAAGAACCTATTTGTGACAGGGAAGACATTATGAGCCATCTATGTCAAAATAAACAATAAGAAAGGAGGTTCAGTGTCATCAGATTTCATAATTCCAACATTTACACCACAGCCCTAACACATAATAAGACCAAAACAAGCATGCTAGCACTGAACCTCAACAATGGACCAGAAGAAGTATTCATATCTATGAATGTGACTGTTCTGACTGATACTTCAAACCCATGACGAGAACTGAAAAGCCTTTTCCATGAACAAGAAGAAATGATCAGCTGCCTTCTATTTAACCCTTAGAGTTCTTATTTAATCCTAGATTGTTTTTAAATGTTTGCATTAGTTGAATGTTTTATTTTTGCCTGTCCCTAACTTCTTGTTTGAAAAAAATGTCCTAACAGCATTAAAGCTTTTCTTTCCTGTAGTATTAACACAGTAGAATTTAAGATTCTATTGTGTTAAAACAATATAATAATGTCTTAGCCAAGACAGAGTCTTGGCTTGGTATGTTTCAGGATAATCGGCCTTCAAGACAACCTAACGGCTCTGTCTACTGATATTTTAAGAGTGCTTTATAATTCTGTCCTCCCAGCATTATTGATGAACTGCTAGTCTAATAGAAAACAGAAACAGGAGTGACACTAAGATACAGTCACTTACCTCAGCAGCTCAGATTCTTCCTTGTCGTCCCTGGAAGGTGCTGATTTGACTCCTCCTTTCTTGGCCCGTGGACATCCAGACAAACTGGCAAAGTCACACGTCAAAATTTAACACTTTTGTAAGGTACAGATGCCAAATAGTTAAAGTACAATTATTATTATTATTCATTATTATTAAGACGTCGTCTCATTAGGTGTCATTACTTTACTTATACGGATCAAAATGCAAATGTGAGGAGCTCCCACCTCCTGTGCGACGCATAGTTTCCAGTGATGTGACCCGATCCATCACAGCCTGGAGTCGGACACCTGAGACACATGTAGGCAGGTTTTCAGCACACATTTTTACATTTTTATTTTCCTCACTATGCACCTATTAGTTACTGTTGTATGCTTCCAACTAGATATCCACCACCCATATTTGATGTTTTGATGTTTTAATCGAATTGAAGCATGGAGATGAGAAAATGGACCAAGCCGTAGCTGCAGAGCTTTCAGTAAAACTTGTTGAGGTTTAGTCAGGAAACAATTAACTCAATAAAACACACATACTTCAGTTCAGCTGTGTGGGCAGCCATGAGGGTCCGAAGTGATTTATCAGCAAGAGGACAGCCTGACAGACTGAAAAAGTAGGAGAGAGTCAGAAAACAGAAGTTAGAACAGATGGAAAGAGCTAGAACACAAGCTCAACCAGAACGGAAGTCAAGTCAGAACTGGGCTGCACCCATAAGAAGAGATCTGATGCATTATCTACCTGAGCAGTGTAATTGTTAGGGAAAAAAAAAGAATCACCATATGCAGTGTAAACGATGTCGTTTGCTCCTGAAAAGGTTCGTTCAAATTTCAAATAAAAAAACTCACAAACTGCCTAGATTAGATAGAAAACACAGGGACCAAATGATGCCACAGTGTTTCTTCTGTAGTTGACATAATCTTCAAATTACAAATTAGACATGTGGACAAAACTGTCGGGACACTGGTGTTACAGCTGATAAGACAACAAAGATCCTTAAATCCTTCAAATTGAAGAGAAGGTTAACATGAACGGTAAACAAAGAGCCCAGAACACAAAAATTACAAAAAACGTAGGAGTAGAGAGCCTAAAGTCGCTGCTATGACAACCACAGGAGCAACATCACAGATGTGTGGTCAGGAGTGAAGAAGATCACAGGCTTCAAGCAAACGGAGGATCGCACAGATGAAAGTCTGGACACAGCAAATGAGCTCAACACATTGTTCAATAGGTTCAGTTCTGGAACAAGCTCATCCCACCCTGCTTTGACTCACAGCTTTCAGACGCTCTGTCTTCCACCTCAGTCATGGACTCTCCTGCTTCTACAAGTTTGTCTTCGACCACATCAGGAGATGCTGCTGCTCCCTTTGCCTCCACCTCCAACTTTTCTGTACTTAGAAGTCTGGTGAAGAGGCGGCTGGAGAGACTGAACCAGAACAAGGCTGCAGGTCCGGATGCTGTCAGCCCCAGAGACTTGAAGGGCTGTGCAGAGCAGCTCTGTGAGATTCTGCAGCAGCTTGGCCCAACGGAAGGTTCTGTTGTTGTGGAAGACATCCCGCTTGGCTCCGGTTCCGACTCACCCATCAGTCATTAATGACTACAGACTCGTTGCCCTGACACCCCACATCATAAAGGTCCTGGAGAGACTCCTGTTAACCCTCTTGCATACAAGCACATACCAGGACTCCCTGCAGTTTGGTTATTATTGCCAAGGAGTTGAAGATGCTGTCATACATCTGCCTCAACAAACCCTCCGTCATCTGGACAAAGCAGGCAGCACTGTGAGGATCATGTTCTTTGATTTCTCCAGTGCGGTTAACACAATTCAGGGTAATCTGCTTTGTCAGAAACTCCAGAAGACACAGGATCTATGGCTGAACGATAAACAGACTACAGATCATTAGACCACTGAAGGTCTGTGTATCTAACCAGGTGATCAGCAACACAGGAGCACCACAGGGCTCTGTACTCTCACCATTCCTTTGAACTCTACATAAACTTCCAGCACAAGTCCCACTTCTGTCATCTACAGAAATGCTCAGTTATCGAGTGTATCATAGATGGACAAGAATCTCATTTTACCGCTTGAGAAATAGGGTTAGATCAAACCTTCTTCCCATCGTGTGAGAAGAAGTGGACGTGAAAGTTTGTGGCTTAGGTGCCAGTGATGAATATGTTTCAAAATGGAAAAATCCAAAAATTGGGAGAAAGGATATGGAAGTAAGAAAATGAATAGCCCACAAAGGAGTACTGGTATAAATAAGCTAAGTGATTAGTTGGATTTAAAAACTAAAACTACAATTGAAACTAATAATTATAAATTAGAGAAAGAAACCAGGAGCTTGAGTTGGTTTACTTGGGCTTCGAGTTTATAATTAAGGGTTTAAGCTGCTGAGCTTTAATAACTAAAAGACAAAATTTGGACTAGACAACTAAGATCAATATTGATATCTACAGAGAAGAGATATCAAACCAACATAAGTAAAATTGAGAGATTTCAGAAAGATACGAGGAGAAAAAATGTAGAGTAATTTCAGCACCGTAGGGACTGATGGTAGGCAGGAAAACATCTACAAAAACGGAAAAAGGAACTTAAAGAAGATAAAAATAAAATAATAATAAAAAACAATAGGACATGGAATACCCAGAACATGTAGGATAATCTACTTGGTGTGTCTGACACATGACATACTACAAAAAGAAGACAAATATCTGGTACAAATAAGTCAGAAAACCATCACAAGATTATGGTATAAAGAGGGACCGACTGTGGAGCAATGGCTGTGCATTATGGAGGAGATATCTGTGATGAAAAAGCTCACATATAAACTGAGATTGCAAGTGGGTCAATTTGTTGGAAAATGTAAAAAATTTAATGATTATAGAACCAAGGAAGACACCGCTTTCACAACCGGACAATATGGACATTAATAATGAACAACAGTATCAGAATGTAAAGTACAATGAAAAATAAGAAAGAAATAAACTTAGAAATAAACTTAAGAGGCTCCCTGCTGGAGGGCAAAAAGCTGCTCGCCGTCATTGACCACTGGCTTTAGTTGTCGAGCTGCTAATGCGCTAAGTCTTAAATGTATGTGTAATATTTATAAGAAAAGAGACACAGTGCTTTGGTACTAATTGTCAATACTACAAGATAGCAATGTCAGGAAAAAGTTTGAATTTAAAAAGTAAATTAACGAGAGAGAGAGAAGAAGTAGGTCAGCTTGACTTTGACAACCATAACATGTAGAGTTTTGTGTTTTCAGGTCAGTTAAAGAACTGAAACACCAACTCAGATCATCGGTAGACCTGATGCTTAAACTAGCCAATCAACTACTGCTATGGCCGATAGTAATTACATTAATAATGGTAAAAATCGCATCAAGCCTCAAAACATAAAACCTTTGTGCTCAATTCCAATATTTTGCTGAAGTCCAATTTTTTTCTGCATGGTCGTTCATATTAGTAATTGCACCCAACTGCAGTGAGACTGCTGTGTGAACTGTTTATATCCCCAAAGCGACCCACATGTGCAGAATTTATAGATTAACACATTTTCATACGCAGTCTTGTTATTTTATCCATTTATTCTTTATATAGCCCTTTTCATGGAAAAGAACTGAGTTAGGCTATTCAGACTATGGTGAAAAAGTGGAATATACATCCCACATGGGCAAAAAAGTCTCTCTAAATGTATTGAACATAGAAGGAGCTGAAAGAGGCCTTTTGACGAAATTCGCCCTTCAAACTTAAGACAGCTGGAGGAGTTTGTTCATTAGTAGTGGACCAAAATACCTGTGGACAGGTACAGAAGTCTTATTAACAGATGCATAAATTATTTCATTGCAGTGATTGTCTCAAATGGTTGCTCAACAAAATATTAAGTTACAGGTATCATTTTTTTTGTCCAAGCCTGCTTCATTTGTTTGCTTTTTAAAATTATTGTATTCAACCACATTTCAAAAGCAATGCTGGATTTTCATTGGTTGATTTCTGTAAATGCTATGTATTACTTTTGTCAGTTTTAAATTATTTCAGGGACCAGTGTGGGCTTTTAGGTCACAAAGTGGTGCCAACAATTTTGTACACGTGTGAAGAAGCTGCTATAGGAGGATAAGGAGATTCTTATTAATAACATTTCTGAAATAAAAATTTTTGTTACAAATATTTTGAAAATAACCCAAGAAGCATGTTGAATTTACTTGACAATTATTATCAGCCTCATGTTAAATGTACTTAATCTTTGATAACTTTATAAAATAAATTTATAGAAATTTACAAGACCACCAATCACACATATGTAGAATTTGATATATTTATATTCATAATCAGTAATTTATGAGGAAAAAGCGAAGGTAACTTCATAACTATAGCCTCAGCATTCAGTCATTTATTTGTCAGTTAAATTAACAAATATACCGACAAATGAATGGCTTAACATGATAAAAAATAAATAACACTTTCGTAATACACACTCAAGGTCTTACCTTCGATGTGATGCATAATTGCCAGTGATGTGCCCACTGCCATCACAGCCTGGTGTCGGACATCTAAATCAAAGAAAATAATAATCATGGATTAGACCTGAGGCAGGTTCTGCTGCAGGTTTCTTCCTGTTGCTACAGGCATGCTTTACTGAGCATGCACTAAGGAGTTGTTGCAAACAGTCCACTGATATCACATGCTGAGTGAAGGCTGCGAGTCACTGACTCTATGATAGCTGCTGGGTTTTCTTAAATAGAAGGCTACTTGGCCAATTTAAATTATAAGCTAAACTTGAGCGCATTTTTTTTTATATATCTAGCATCAACTGAAATGGATGTATAAATTGATTCACTTGATTTTCTGTTCTTTTTTCTAAAGCAAGTTGAGAGGCTGCTGGTGTTGAAAGATGACATGTTGTCACTATATACTATATACATGAACCAAAATGAACTCAAATGAAATCACACAAAACAAAATCTTAAAAAGATTTCTTGCAGTCAGCATCTATCATGAGGTTGAGCTTTGTGTGTAACAATTACGTTGCACATGTGACGGCAGATACGTGTAAAAGAGTCTCTCTATTCTGTGAAAACAGGAATCAGATTCTTTAGCAGTGGCTTTGCTGTGATACTGACGACTGTTCAGCCAGTAGTTATGTTTACACTGATCTTCTTCTGTAAAAGGCTTGGAAGTCAGTCTCTCTTGTGCGCCACTACTGCCATCTTTTGGCGTAAAATGGCATTGCACCAGAAATGACTCTTAAAGGAATCCATGATTAGTTGTAACAATAGACTTTATCTTAGAAGTATTTCTTTTAGATGTAAAAACAATACAGCAATAATAATGTAGGTTGTTTAGTTTCTATCAATTTTAATAAAATATTGTCAAATATTGTTATAACAAAAGATGTACATTTTTGAAGTAATTATGAGTTTTGGTGGATCGCAAACAGCAATTTCTCAGTTAAAATAAAAATTACAACATATTCAGGCCATCATGTTCAACTAATCCTGGATCACTTTGAGCTTTTCAGCTACAAATCTCACTGTAGATTCTGCTACTTTTAATTAAATCTTTGACAGATTTAATTAAAAACTGTATTTTAATATTTCTGCTAGTTTTAATTCATCAACAAGCCTTTCTCCATCTCTTCAGATTCTTCAGCAAACCAGCTAATTGAGTCAGCATTTCATATTCACACTGCTGTTTGAAAAGAAATATAATACTTAACTCTTGATTTAGGTCTGACACTACTTGGTAGCTATTGTCAAATGCTGAACTGAAGATCACCTGTGTGTCACATGCCCTTGAGTTGTATGAGTTTTAAAATGGGAAGTTCTTGAACTTACACAATAACTTCTTTTTTGTTGTCTTTGGGCTGAAACTTGACTTTAAAACTGCTGGTAGTGACTTCACCGGGGTATTTCCGGTCCTCCGAGTTTTCTTGGTTCTCTTCCTCATCATCCGATGATGTATATGAAGGAGCTGTGTATTCCATCTAGACAGAAGTAAAAATAGGGCATAAATGGCTAAGACACTCCTGGAAAAGTTTATCCAATCAGAATTCTGTTTTCAACTTTAAAATTGTTTTAATGCATATACAGTTACTATGGGCATGAGGCTCTGATATTTCCTCTTTTCCTTGAGCTTTTGTTTTGTACAGAGATGTACTGTAAGTGGCAAAATTCATTACCTCTTCATGGTCTTCCTCCTTGTCTTCAGTGGGTTTGGTGAAATCTAGTGGACCTTCCCAATCTGACTGAGGATGGTCCTGAGACAACGTGGCATCCACAAGCTGAGAGGAGGAAGGCAAAGAACATGCAGCCTCTGCAGACTGTATGTCGTCTCTCTTGGTTTTTTTCATGCTCAGGTCTAAGGTGCCATTCTCATCCACCTCAATCGCGACCTCCTGCAGTGTTAAAATAAATGGTGAGAGTGAAGTATGGCGCAGATGTTGGGCGTAACTGGAAAAGCCAATGTTCACATCCTAAACTGGCTTTGAGCCACACAACAGATCTGTGTACCTTGGTGGAAGGCTCCAGGAGTTTAGTGCTGCAGGTTTCCGGTCTCTCCCAGCAGCGGGTGGACAGGTTGAGGATTGCTGTTGCCGCCATATGGGCTGCCTCTGCGTCCTCTGCACCCCATCCACTGGAGGATGGGATGTTCTTGGCTAAACCTCCTGATGTACCATGGCTTGGCGAGGGTGCCTTGGAAAATGGTTTAGCTGTGTGCAAATAAATAAATACTTTGTAACAGAAAAGGACAAATGAAAGCCACTTCAAAATAATGTCTAAGAATCATAAAATGCTAGTGAGATAACAAACAAATGAAAAGTTAAGAAGCCATTTTGGTAGCCTCAGTATTGATTTTTTTTTTGCAAATGATGTAGTTCTGTTGGCTTCATCTGACTATGATCTCCAGCTTTCAGCATGCAGCTGAATGTTTAACGGCCGGCATGAAAATCAGTACCTCTAATTTCAAGACCTTGAGCTAGAAAAGAGTGTTGTTCTCTCTGCAGGTCGTGAATGGCGTCCTGCCCAAGTAGGCAATAGGTCAGTAGATTGGTTGATGTGGCGTCTTCAATTATGTGAGCTCTCATTTACCAATTAATATGTTCCACCCTCATCTATGCTCACAAGCTCTAGGCAGCAACCTAAAAAACGAGACTGTAATGAGTTTCCTCCAGGGTGTCTGGGCTCCCCCTTAAGGCAGAGAAACTGAGAAGCCCAATTTTCCAGCAGGTGCTCCTCCACATCAAGAGCAGCCAGTGGAAGTGTCTTGGGGGAGGACGCCCAGGGACATGCAGGAGGGACTATGTTTATCAGTTGGTTGGAGGATCGGGCTCAGGTGGGGCGGACTGGGAGAACTGGGGAGAAAGGTGGCCTGAGAGTTTATGCATATCAACGCCACAGCTCTTGCTCTTTGCCATACCAGAAATTGCGTTACTGATTTTCACAACATTTCTGAAAAGAGAACTTTTAGTTTTGTAAGGAACGACTATTCAGCATTCATAAATATTGTTTATTTTGACTAACAAATGATAATTTTATTAACCCTTTAACTCTCACCACCAAAACAATCAGGTCAGTGGGTCCATGAGGACACTGGTGACAGCATGATAGTTGATTAAACAGAAGTGATCTTGTTCTGCCTGTTGTCCAAAACATAGTTTCTGTGCAATAATTTGTATATAAACTGCAGTATAACAATGTCTTAACTTTGCACATTTTTGATGCTTACTCTTCTTACCTGAATTTAAATGGACTTTGTGCCTTTTTTTTTTTTTTTTTGCTTTAATGTTCACTTGCTGGGTAGAATAAAGTTTTTTGAATCGTGAATCAAATTACATCAAGCTCAAAATGGTTGTTTATTGTTTATTATTCTCCAACTGGTACAAAAAACATGACGCTTTATGCAGCGAAGGCCATCAGGCCGGGACTCAAACCTGTGACGGCCGCGTCACCCCTGCGCCACCACAGATCCCGTAATAAACATTCAACACTTGTTTTGTGGCAAAATCTAGAGCAGGAGTGAGACTTACATTTGAAGACTTTAGTTGATGTGTCGGTGGTGTCGGGCGTCTTTGGAACAATCATACGCTTCCCAAACACTTGCACATCAAAGCTTGCATAGTCAAAAGAAACCTTGGAGTATTTCTCCAGCTCCTTGGCAAGGTTAGCTCGAGGTGTGGTTGTCACTGTGTTGGGGCGGTAGCTGCCATACTGCGGGATCTCCAGCTGTTTCACAAAACACATTGGCCTGCAAGAAAAACCACAGGTTCGACCAAAATGCATCAGCAGACGTGGACTTGCGTGGAGGTGAAGAGGAAACCAAACGTTGTTTCCTGTCTTGCCTTAGCACTCTGTCAGAGTTTGAAGTTGGCTCGCTGGCTGCAGCTTGTAGATGAACTTGCTTGTCCTGGTTCTTGTTCAGTTTAGCTGCTGCTGCTATGGGGCAGCCGGACAGGCTGGAAGGGGTTGAAGATCCAAACATGAATTTTTAATTAGCAAAACAAACATTGAGATTTTTCTTTTTTAATCTTAGATGATTTGATCAAACGTGTGTTAGTTCTATTAGAAGACGTTAGTTTGTCTTAATTTTCTAAATTTCTAAATGTATCTTTAAAAATCAGTCCTCATGCTATATTGAAAATAATAAAGAGAAATTATACTACAGATAAAATGACCTGCTGTGTGCATGCCTTTGTGTGTGTGTGTGTGTGTGTGTGTGTGTGTGTGTGTGTGTGTGTGTGTGTGTGCTTTCACAACCTGCGGTGTGTGTTGCGGTTACTGTTCACATGACCTTGGCCGGTGCAGCCGGGAGTGGGACACTTCAAGACATTTTCGTGCATGGCCAAAACTACAGACAGCAGAAGTAAGGTCAGTATATTTAGTGTACTACAAGCACACACAGTGACTGAGCTGAAGAAAGCAGTTTGTTACAACAGTATTAGTTTGTCTTCAGTAGTAGTGTTAGTTGAACTGATTATGTTACAAGTGCTAGTGAAGACTTCTGACAGAAACCCTTTTCTTCTCGTCTAAAAGGTCTGCGCCATCTTCAGCTTATTGCAGTTGTTCCCAAAATTGTGATCAGAGACGCATTGAGGGTTGTGAAATGTCAAGTTGGTAGCTTTACAATTTCACACTGAATTCAGTAAATTTTTGAAGTGATAAAATGGATTTTTTTTGTTTTTAAATAGCATGAAACAGCTGTTTGGTTTATCCGTCTGAGTTTTCATACCCTCCTTTTATTGTTCTATGAGGGAAATTGTTTAACTTCCACCAACAGCAGCCGTAGGGTGAAAGGTTTGGGAACCACTGGGTGATGAACTCACTCTCTGGAGGTATTCTGTCTTTGTGTGGACATCCAGAAAGACTGCGGTGGTGAGGATACAACCCAGTGATGTGGCCTGTTCCGTCACAGCCTGGAGTTGGACACTTTACTTCCTTCTTTTCTGAAAAAAGTGAAGAAGCTTAATTAAATGTCATCAAAACACAAGAAGCTTAAGAAAAACATATATATTTTGCTTGTATTTTAACTGATTACGGGAACATGATTTTTTCTTAAGTCCAACATGGGAGAGACGAAACAATCCATATGTATTGCATTTTTCTGATAAGATTCTACGTCGCACAGTTTGACACAAGCCTAATTTCTTCAACATTAATGCTTTAGAATCAAAAAGTCAAATCTGTGTCACATTAATTGCAATAACACATTAATTGCCCTGTGTCAGGGGTGTCGAGCTCAATTTAATTTTGGGCCAAATCAAGATCATGAATGTTCTGACAGGGCCGGTGGTCCCAAGATCTACTGCTAAAACCCGTCAATGAACTGTTGAAATATAAACAAATTCTTAAAATTAAATTATATCGAACATCTTTTCAGTCCCTCCAGGATTGTGCAACTGTCTGTGGGAATTCTTTGCAATAAAAATTAACATGTTTGTGGTTCTAATTTTGAAATATTTGCACTTTTGTAAGATGGGAAATAGGACATTTTATTACTCGCTGTGTCGTTATGGATTATAGATAAAATAAGGCTGAGGCAGATGTTTAGCAGAAGTAAGAGAAACATCCACCTGCAGGTGGGAGTAAACAGTCACTTGGATCCAATATTTTTCACCATTTTCGCCAAAAATCTACAATAAACTCACAACTATGCTTCAGTGCAAAAAAAAAAAAAAAAAAAGAAATGCAGGGCTTTGTTGATTTTACTGAATTTACACGATAAATCACAGAAAATTGGTGGGACTGATTGATGTCATTTAACAGTACAAACTGCTTTGATTTGATTGAAACAATAATGTTTAAGCACACGGTTATCTTTTTGACGGTTCTAGGGCCACATAGCGTTTGACACCTTGAGCTCCATGTCATTGGCAGACAGTGTACCTTTGCTACAGTGGGTGGAGCGGCGGACTCCAGCAGAACCGTCGGAGTTCTTCATGGAGGCGTTGCTCGGCTGGTAGTCAACAGAACTGCTGCTCTCCTGACCGCCCTGGACCTCCTCTGCCTTCAGAGCGATGGCCTGCTCCAGCAGCCCCAGATTCCCTCGAGTCATGTCCCAGTTTTCAGAGTCGTCCGTGACGCCTGATCCCTCGGAGACGCGATCCAGTTCCTCTCCCCTGTCTTCCTCCTCCTCCTCCTCTTCCTCCTCCAGTTCCTCGTCGTCTTCCTCTTCCTCCTCGTCCTCCTCGTGCTCCTCCTCCTCTGCGTGAACTTCGATGATGACGGTGCTCGGAGAGGCCTTGCTTGAGTTTCCTTCTTCTTCATCGTCATCTTCATCTTCTTCCTCCTCGTCTTCTTCTTCTTCTTCTTGCTCCACTTCTCCGGCTTTGCTGCTCTGCTTCTCCTCTGCTGCTTCTTCCTCGGCCCTGAGGGTGTCGCACTGTTCTTCCCTGAGTGACACAGTCGCTTCAGATTCCTGAATGAAAACTGTCTCAACTTGTCTCACTGCTCCGTAGTCTTCCTCCTCTTCTTCTTCCTCCTCCTCTTCCTCCTCCTCTGCGTCCTCCTCTTCCTCCTCCTCTTCTTCAGTCTCATTATTATCCATCGGTTTTGACTCTTTGGCCTGATTTTTGTAATCTCCACTTGAGTACTGGTGATCAGAATTTTCCTGCCTGATCACCTGTCTTCTGATCTCCATCTCTTCTGCAACATTCCTCTGACTTTCCTCCTCCTCCTCCTCCTCCTCCTCTAGGTTTGCTGTTTTTGCTTTATCTTCTTCCTCGTCTTTTGTCTCTTCATGGCAGGGGACGGTTGTTTCTTCTGCTGGGAGCTCTGGTGGGAGGCACGCGGATGCTGACTGAACCTCCTCTTCTTCTGTGATTATCACACATGTGACCTCCTCGCTAAAGTTCTCTGTCTCTACTTTGTTCTCGGTCTCTGAGGTGATACTTCTGCTCTTATCGTCAGGTGAAGGGTAAGGTTGTTCTGGGTTGTCTGTGGTCACCGAGGTACGCTCAACTGTGGAACCCAAGTATACAAAAAGCCGTCAGAGCTGCCATGTTGTTCATTTGTAACCTTGTCTGCATCCGTACGTAAAAAGACTGGCAACAGATTTGCACGATTGGTCTAAGCAACAATGAAAATTGTTCACATTTATTTTCACATTTCTGAGCTGAAAGCAGTCGGTGGAACGTGTGAAAGATTTTGTTACACACCTTTTCCCGTCTCGCTCTTTGTTTCTTTTTTCTTTTTGTCTTTGATGCCATCTTTTTCCTCTCCGTCTTCCTCATTCTGCTCCTCCTCTTCTGCCATGTCACTGTCCTCGTCGGCCTGTTTGGCGGGCTGGATCCTCTTCCTGGGCGACAGCGGGTTCTCTTCAATTTCGGCCTCCTGGAGCTTCCTTTTCTTTACAATTGGGCAGCCCAACGCACTGAGATGGACAAAACAAAAGAATTGTAATGTTGCATCGTACTCGGGCAGCGAACTATGTGGTGCATTAATTTGACTAGAAATGAATGTTTAGTCAAATAAATTATGTGGTTAAAGTTGAAATGATGCAAGCACGCTGATAACGGAGCAGTGTCATAACCGTGGAGAAAGTTGCTTTCACAACAAAGCTGATAAAAGTTTTCTATTATCATCTCCATATTTTAATTCACCCAGTGTGTCTGTAGGAATTTATGGGACAAAGAAAACTAGTGGATGAAGGCCTGAGGGAGGTGCTTTCTGCATACGATGAAACAGAGGAAATTTCCAAATCTCTCTTGTAAATTAGATCTATTTACTTGTGTGAATAAAGTTGAAATAACAAAATTATGCTGCTTAGAAACGTTTCAGAGATGCTGGAAGGACGACCTCATGAAATAGGCCAGTTCACAACAGCAAGGAGCCTGTGGGCTATTCATCAGCAAAACAATGTCACCCTAAAAGGAGCTGAGGAGAAAAAATGGTTTCCTCTTGAGTACAGGAAACGTTTTGGGTCAACAAATATTTCAGCACCCAAAACTCATAATATGGATGTCTTTTCCCTCTGTTTACCTAACAAAAACAGAAAGTCCATCATCTACAGAAGTAAATCGTCAGGCAGTTTTTAAATACTACGACACGTTTATATTGTTGATGATACGTCCTGCTGTCAAATGATTGCTTATCGTTTCTGCTGAGTCCCACCTTCTGTGTCTCGAATATCTTCCACTGACGTGACCTTTGCCATCACATCCAGGGGTGGGACAGCTGCTGCTGGCACAAACCAAGAAAAACCTACATTTTAAACGCGTCACGTTTTTTGATTTGAGAGCCAATCAGGACAAGAATACTTTACCTCATTTCCAGCTTCATTGCTTGTCCAACTTGTTCTGCTGACAGAAAATAGAGTTCACCACATTATCCGGGAACACAAACAAATATCTCACGTTATATGTCTTGTGACAGGATAGATTAAATCCATGTGTCAAGATACACTCTTATTACATATATGACTGAAAACCAATGGGGGGATTTTTTTTCTTTCAATCTAAACAATTTTTTTATGTTGTTAAAAATTTTGATTTTTTTTTTTTCTCATTTCAGAAAGTAAAATAATTCAATTTACATAGAATGGGATATATTCAAGTCTTTATTTGGGATATGTTCAAGTCTATATAATTTTGATGAATATATCTTGTAGAAAACAAAACCCAAAATTCAGTGTCTCATATATTAGTATATATACTAAAAGAAATCATATCATCTTCATAGAAAGTTGAGTGGAAGGAAAAAAGTGTAATACCAAAAGGTGCAGCACATAACGTGGATGATCACAACCTTACAATGACTGTCAAATAAAATTCATTTGTAGACAAAAAAAAACAAAACATAGAATGCTAAAACAGAAAATGTTAGCATTCTAAAATTTTGTATAGGAGAAGCACAAACTAAAATCACTATTTCACCTGGTAAAATAGCGATTTCACCATTTCTGTAAATGTATGGGAAGCCAGTAGAGTAAGACAAGAATCAGGAAAATATGATTATCACTGTTTCCTGCCACGGCATTTTGTACTTTGCTCACAACCTCTGTGAAGATGCTGATTTTTATTTTCCAGCAGGGCAAACACAGTCCCAACCAAATACTGAGAGCACATTAGTAAACACACTCTTCAAAAGCCTGACACTTATGTTTAAAACATCCTTTTCATTGGTCTGCTGTTAAAATTCAAATTCCTAATTGTCCGTAAGCCACAATCATCAAAATTCTGAGATATAAAGGATCTCAATATTTTTCTCTGCGTCATGAATCTATATGCTACATAAGTTTCACTTTCTGAAATGAGTCAAAAGAAAATTTGAACTTTATCACAACTTTATCATTTTTGGAGTTTTGTTGGTGTCAGCAATCCACTTATTTGTCATTTTTGATTTGCTGGAAGGACGAATGATTAATTTAATGAACCAAAAATGAACAGAAGAAAATATCTGATACAATGTGCTGGTTTCTCAGCTTTCTAACACTCTTGACATGACTGGACTGGGTTTTTAGAACATGAATGAGAAGTGAGACAGAGTGAGGAGATCAGATCTTTGGGAATCAAATCTCACTTTCTGTTCTCGTTTCTGCATGCAGGCTTGTCGGTGCTCACACTCACCCCGGATGGCTTTAGAACGAGCTCGTGTTCTTGTCTCTGTGTCTTGACTCATCTATGTGACAGAGGATTGGGTGGAAGGTTTACAACAGACAGACAACGCAGCATGGAGGAACGATTAAGAGGGTAAATCGTTGTCAAACAGACACAGGAGAGATGGCCAGACAGACGGAGAAAACGGACAGGGAGGGGAAAAAAACAACAACAAAAAAATTGCTTTGTCACTTACTTTCATCTAGCTTTGAACTCATTTATGCCTAGAGTTGGACACAAAATAGGAAATCAACTCGGATAAACTTTGAGTTCACTTTTAAGAAGAGCAAATTACATTCTGCCTTTCTGAATGAAAATACAAACTTTACTGGGTTCGATGAGGTCAGAGTGATCCAAAAAAGAGAACAAGTTTGGCTAATTGATCTCATAGGTAACTTTAAATATAACAGATAAAAACAGAAGCCACATGCTAAAGAGCAGACTCTGATTTGCTGCCTTTAAAAAGCAACATTTTCTAGTAAACCTTGAGGAATGCTACGCGTTTGATTCTTTTCTTTTCTTGCACATTGGACCATCAACTAAAATAATCACAGATTTCACTGTTCATTTCAACACTGGGAAATGCCAGTGTTAATGCCAAGTTAATATTTAAGAAATATTTGGAAATCAAATAAAAATACTTCTACAAACATATGTATCAGCTTCAAATGGCATAATTCTCTTTGAAGTTATAGTTAAATATTTCAAAACTGCATACAGGTGTCATGTCTAACATGACGTATTGTATAGGCATACCTCTGTATACCTATCCATAGGTATGTTGATAGCTCTGTATAGGCATAAAGGCCACTAATCTACAGATAAAACTCCTTCATTAAAATGCTCCTTTACACCCGGAGCAGCTTCGGCCCCTGACCCTGCAGCTCAACCAGGTGACTTCTTCTCTGAAGAGCATTAACCCCAACAAAGTCCCAGGGCCTGACAAAATGTTGGGGAGGACTCTGAGGTCATGTGCCGACCCGTTGGCAGGGGTCTTCTTTTTAGACATGTTCAATCTGCAGTTTTCAGCTGTCCCTGTCTTCCATAATTGCTCCACCTTTGTGGTTGTGCCAGTAGTAGAATCTGTTGTGACCTGCTTGAATGACTACCGCCCGGTCATCCTAACCCCAATCGTTACAAGACGATGTGAGAGGATCGTCCTAAAACACATTAGGGATAGCCTTCCTGCTAGTCACGACAGGCACCAGTTTGCCACAGAGTAGGGCATGCTCCATTGTCCTTAGACACTTGCAGCATCCTGACACTTATGCTGAACTTCAGTTCACCATTTAACACCATCATCCTGGGAAAGCTGACAGTGAAGCTCTATAATCTGGGACTTTAAACAGCATTTGCCTTTGGATCAGGGACTTCCTCAACAACCTGTCTCAGGTGGTGACAACAGGAGGTCGAACATCCTCCACCCTGGTCCTGAATACAGGCACACCACAGGGCTGTGTGCTTAGCACGGTTCTTTTTACAATACTCACCCACAACTGTGCAGCCATCCACTGCTCCAGCAGGGTTCAGATGATATTACTGCAGTGGGTCTAGTAACAAACCATGATGAGACCCTGTACAGAAAAGAGATCCACCACCTGTCCCGGTGGTGTTTACTGAACAATCTGGTACTCAACACCAGCAAGACCAACCAGGTCATAGTGGACTACAGGAGATGCAGGAGGACAGCACACCCACCTGTTACAATTCAAGGAGAGGTGGTGGAGTGTGAGGACAATATCACATTCCTGGGCATCCACATCACCTTGGATGTGACCTGGTCAGTGAACAAGTCTTTCCTGGTGATGAAGGCCCGACATAGACTCTTCATCCTCAGGAAACTGAAAATGGTTGAACTCCCTGCTCAGTTGCTCAAGAACTTCTATAGAGATGTGATTGAGATCCCCGTGTTGTCATGATAAGTGTTAGTGGATGGACCCAAATGGAAACGTCAAGCTATGCTGAAGATTTAATGAAAAATTAAAGAACAAAAAAACTCACAAAAATCAAAAGAAAGCATGGAATCCAGAGAAGGACAAAAAACTATAAATCCAAGGGAAAACAGCAGAGAGAAGAGGGGAAGAACAACAGGATATAGTGGGAGTAGACGAGAGGAACTGGCAAGGAGTGAGAGGAGGCGTATAAGTACTGGGAGAGTGAATACAGTGGACCTGGGCTGGGAGCTGTGGCCTTGCAGCAAGAAGGTCCTGGGTTCGATTCCTGGCCAGGGGTCTTTCTGTTTGTTGCATGCGTCGGATCTCTCCGTGTACTCCGGCTTCCTCCCACAGTCCAAAAACATGACTGTCAGGTTAAATGGTCTCTCTAAATTCTCCTTAGGTGTGTGTGTGCATGGTTGTTTGTCCTCTGTCTGTCTCTGTGTCCATTGCCCTGCGATGGACTGGCAACCTGTAGTGTGATCTCGCCTCACTCCTGTTGACCTCTGAAGACCCCAGGACCTCTCATGACCTCACTAGGGATAAGCGTGTAAGATAATGGAGGCCTGTAAAGGAAAGTTGGACCTGGCCTGATTAGCTAACTGACTGCAGGTGTGAGGGGAGAGAGCAGAAAACAGACTGAGGAGAGAGAGAGAGTGAGAAAGTGGTACAGGGGGTGAAGGAGAGTACACAAGGAGTAGGAAATGAATCTAACGCTAAAGAATAACTAATAATAAACATGATTAAACTAGAGTAACAAAGAATAACTACACAAGAAGTAAACATAATAAACTAGAATTACTAAGGAAGGACTGAACTAAAGCAAAACAGAAATAAGCGCTGTTTTTGTTAGAGGGATCAAATAAAAAGAAACTAAAGAATACGGAATAAACAAACCTCAAAGCAACACAGGATCCTAACACATTCTCCCTAGAACATATGGATATATACGACAAAATAAAAATCTTATTGTATGTCTTACTTATGCTGACTGCAGCTTTGTGGAGGTGAACTTTTATGACATCTGACATATCAACGTAACTTTGAGCGACCTGCTCTTTTTATTACAAAGTCAGCCACAAAACGGTAAAACTGCGAAGTTAGAGCTGAAGTGACAAGCACCCGCTACACAGTTTTGTGTGATTTAAGGTATTTAGTAAATTACATACAGTAAATTATACGGGAGAATATCGTGTTTAAAGTACAACGTTACGAAATGGTTTGATTACGAATTCAAAAAAAATGTGGCTGGGACAAAACGGAGGAGTAAAAAATCGCGACAGGAATTGGGTTGATAAGCAGCTCAACAATTATTATGTAATCAAATCAGAAGGGAAGAAAAATGTAAAAATATAATAATAATAATAATAATAAAAAAGCATGATAAATAAAAAAAAAAGCAGAATTTCCCCAGAATCGACAATAGATGAACAACAAAACCATTCTAAGTGCAGTTGGATAAAAAGCGGCTGCTTGACGGCACCTAACTGCGGGCAGTCTGCTGCCTGATGCGCTGTGACACAAAAGGAAACATGAGAACGCACATGCAGAGTGAAGGCGTTCAGTGCGTTGACAACAGAGACGTGAAGGCCTGCGCAGGCCTTTCCCTCTGCTAATCTGTCATTCTGAACACATATATCAACCGCAGCTTTTTTACAGTTTGTTACTTTTATTTTTTTCCCCCCCCGCGGTTTGTGTTTAGACCAAAACAGTAAGCAGAGCATAAAGACCATCCAACAATAAAAAGCTTTTGAAAGCAATGTCCGTACGCATATTTGGATCGAGCCTTGTCGGCTCTTTTAAACAAAACTGGGCAGAAAGCGTATGATCCCGTTCAGTGTCACCTCCACCCTGCACGTTATGAAATCCAACATTATCTCTACTGTTAGAGTGCAGATAAGAACAGAGAATAAAAAAGCTCTTTGTTGGTGAACCAAAGCCTTACCTTACTCACACTACAATCCTCCCCTCCCCCTCCGCCTTGACATATCTAGGGAGGCGGACTGTCGCCCCTCAGTAACGATGTTCCACGCAAAAAAAAAAAAAAAAAAAAAAAAAAACTACAAAAGCAAAGCACCTGAACACAGCACAAAACTTTGAATTCTCCAGTGGTGTCCACGGATGAGGTCCAGGCCCCATGAGCCTTCCAGCACCCTGGACAGAGCCGATTCTGCTTTCAGCACCACGGACAGAGGGCTGATTCTACTGCCCCCTGCAGGTGTAAAGAAAAGATGCAGGCCTATCATGGTTGGGACTTCCCCTGCCCAGTCTGTGACGTCATGTCAGTATTTAAAGAGGCATCCTGCACTGGTCGGATGGGGTGCGGTGGAGAGAATAATGTCAGTAGAGACGGGATTACAGCCTGTTGTTTAAACATGCGTTAACGGCGGTGTGCAGTTTTCGAGAACATTTGGCTTACATTATAGAATTAGAATGAGAATTTATTGTTGTTCGTCAATGTACACATGTATGGCTTACCAACTCCAAAATAGTGCAAGTAGTCAAGGTAAGAATATAAACACAAATGTGGTGATAAGCATATAACTCTGATCACTTATGATGCTCTGTGTCGACCTTTCACCAGATGGAGACACAACTCAGTAACAGTTTGAGGGTTTGATGTTTAAAACTTAGAGTCAAACTGGATCTATACATTACTAGCCCATTTGCTTTTTTTTTTTTTTACTGTATACTTAAATTCTCCTTGAGTGGAAGTCACTTTTTTTTTTTTTTGGAAAGCTCCATCTCTCACCCCCCTTGATCTAACCAAGATGATCTTGTGTCAGATGACAGATAGCAGGTCTCTCTGGCTTTAAAGCAGGGGAAACTGCATGATCTTTGGGCCCCCTGGCTGTCTCCTGGGTCATTCAGTCAAATTCTATACACAAAGTCTCAATTGTTAATGGTTAAAGTGCTGTGTAAATAATATTCAACTGCCATAGCAAGAAAAAACATTTTGAAGTTAGAAAAATAAAACAATGCTAACCTCGCTTAAGCTGCTATGAGTTGTATCATCTGACTTCTCATAGCTGGTGGAGAGACCAAACCCATTCAAAGAACTTTCTTTAGTTCTATGAATTACAGAAAGGATTAAACAGGTTGAGCTTATAATAGGCGCCACAGATTAAGTTTGTTTTGGTTGCCTAGGCTTTATGGAGAGGGTTTTTCCAATCTGCACTCTTTATAGTCAGTCGGGTGGTCCTGTGCTGTCTCTTGAAATCTGTCTTACTGGAGCAACAGAAGCCAGAAGATGCAGTTTCAGGCATTTGGTGTCACATAGCCCTCTATGCCAATCCAACCCTGCTTTACAGCACAAAGAGTTTTCTCTGGTCATGGTGGCATGGCACCATGTCAGGCTGTTGCCATAAGTTTGGCTCTAAATTCCACATATTTCAGCCGAGTTTTCAGCTAAACTCACTACTTTCAATCAATAGGACTGCAGTCCAATATTTGATGGGCATGCCCTAATTCTTCCACAGTCTCCACTAGAAATCCTTAAAAAAATCAGTCCCAAGCCATTGACAATCATGACATTTGGTACACCTATGTATCTTGTCAGGACCTACAAAAAAACAACAACAAAAAAAAAAAACAATAAAAAAAACAGTCTCTTGGAGTCATGGTCCAAACCCCACAAGAGGTCAGCTATTTTGGATCAAAGCAACCATATTGTCTCTTTTACATGTTGTATATCAACAAAGTCCTCCTACAGCTTTTGAGGTGCAGGCTTCATAATCACTCAAAAGGTCAAAAGTTATCAAATTCTTTTGACTACATCAAAGCATGTTGGCATGGCCAAACCTTGACTCTTGAACCATTTGCCATAAAACATCAAGGTGAAATAACTTCCACACACAAGCTCCAAGCTGCCTGAGACTTTGGGTCTGTCATAACTGACCAGCACTCATCATATTCACATGGTCAGTTCATGACATCACCTTAGCCTTGCCTTCTTTGAACATGAAGTCTGCTGGTTCTCTTCCTTTAGTTCTATGATTCATACAGATTTACACCTGTGTTTATTGACATAGAACAATATGAGACTAATCCTTTTCTTAACACTGGCTGGTGGCTGTAGTGTCCTAGCGGACTGGTGCAGGAACGACATAAGAACATGATGACGCCAATGGGTTAGCGGTGCCGGTCGGCACTACAGGGCATTAAAATGAGATAGTATATCAATATAATGAGATAGTATGGCAATTTAATGAGATGACTATCTTATTATAAGGAGATAATGTCATTATAATTAGATAAAATCTCAATATAAACCAGAACAAAGAGGATATTAAGCTGTTGGAAGCATTATCTCAGTTGATGCCCCCCTTCAGGAAGGTTTTAGAGAAAAAACAGAACGCAAGACCAAATCTTGCTACACTGAAGATTAAAAAAAAGAGAGAAAACAGAATGTTAAAGGTGTAACTAACAGCAAAAGTGTAACTTTCAGGGAAGGAGGAGTTCAGTTCACATGTGGTCCAGATGCATAAAACGGGCTGAAATCCCCCTTTATTGAAGTCTCACAAATCAAAGTTTCACAAATCACAAACTAGGTTTTAAATATTCAGCTATTAGTTGAGAATAATCTAGTCCAGGTATGAAGAGTCTATCCACTCTTAAAACAAATGTGTTATATTTTTAACACTCTTAAGAGCAAATCCAGGCATGAAAAGCATCAACTGCTATAACTCCACATTCATCTTCCACAGCTTGGAGAAGGGGTGTGCGTTTGTGACAACTTGTCCATGTGATGAATCAGTGTGTGTGTAGTAGATCATTTAGAATCTGGCAGTGTGTTCCTTCTGAAAACAAGAGATTTTCTTCATGAACGTTGTGCCAAATACAGAAAGTTGTGTGTATTTTGGGAAAAAAAGTGTTTTCGAACTGCAATTTCAATATAAAGCAAAAATTGTCCTTGAAGTTTTGCAGAATTGCTTCAGGGGATTGTTGCATGAGATATATTTTGTGGTCAATGTGACTCAAGAACCAGTATGTGTGTGTAAACAATCGAGAAAAACTTCAATATTTTTTTCCCCCAGAAAACCCCTTTTACTGGCATATTGTATTGTTTCGAAGGCGAACATGCCACTCACAATATGGCGCTTGCGTTGACGCATAGACAGGGTCAACAAAACCAGTTATGTAGAAAACTCTAGCGCTAACAGAATGCGGCTTTTCACACCGCTTCACTTTCTCCTGCGCTGTCCGACACGTATCAAATAGGTGACTTTTCGTGACATCTCTTCTCCCAAAACATAAATGACGTCTTTCCTGTGGTGGAAAATCACGTTATTTCCGGTGAAGATTCGCACCATGATTTGGTGCAGATCCATAAACCCACGAAACATAAGTTCTTCCTTCTGCCGCAGCCATTCGGGATGCTCCGAAAAGGAGGCTTATGTCAAACTTGGATAAGTGTGAACGTAGACGAATATCTAACTGGTTAGGTTTCATCGAGACCACTGGGAACATCTGGTTTAATCTTGTGGTCGAGAGTTATCCCGTGTTTTAGGGGAAACCTTGGAGTTTCCCTTCTAGAAAAGAGAGGTGAGTCTTGTTTTTTTTCACCTCCAAACTTTATTTATAACGAACACGATATTGTTAATATCAGTGAATTACAAAAACAGTCGAGACTGATCTGACAAGGGCAGAACGCACAAAACATAGGAGAATCAAGGGTAGATACATGGAAATTATTGAGGATTAAAGTAATAGGAAAATAGGTTTAACAGGTTGTACAAGACCGCTACATAAAAACGGAAATCTTAAACACGGGGGCCTACAAAAATTCACTGTCTGCAAAACTTTCCAAATCTTTGAAGATTATATCGGTTTTACGTGAAATTCAAACTCTTATAAGTTAGAAGAAATTCTGAAAATCTAAAAATACATCTGTGAAGAAAGAATAGAAATAGAAGCTAAGTAGAAATAGAATAAAATGTATAACAACAAAATCAAATAAAGTCATTTTTTTTAAAGGAATAGCTTAGAAAACGGGTGCCCAAACTTTCTGAGACCAAGAGCTACTTTTTCCTCTCACCAGCTGTCCGAAAGCTGTGGCATGACACAAAGATATAAATGAAACTCTATTGACTTATTTTATATGCATCAGTTATAGCAGGCATATTGAAGTGACAGAAAAAAAATGCAGTTCTTTTTTCAGTGATACTCTGACACTGGGAGGAGGTTACTACTTTCTCATGGTCAATGCAGTAGGAGCTGGTTGCAAACCTGAGGCCAGCATGTGTCGATTAGTTATGGTAGATCTTCTGTGAATCTCTTTCTGTACATTTGTGAATATTGACACTGTTTTAGTTCCATAATAGCATACACATTTACATGCACATAAAGATAAAGAATAATAAATATGAGTCTTTCCAGTCTATTTTAGACTTCTTTATTGAAGTCATGTCACAGATGGACTCCAACTTTCTTCATCTTAACGAAAATGAAAACTCAGGTAATTTTATTTGGACAAAAGGATTTTCATGCAAGTCCTGAAATAATTCTTGGTTGGTACTTTATGTCCATTTCACTAGACAGTTGTAAAAACGGTGGTGTTGTCTTTTATTTTATTTTTTTCAGAAATAGAGCATTTATTCATTTCTGTACAGCACTTTGGTGAATCTAAATAAATTTGACATTATGTGGTCATATGGTGACATCATCTAAACCCCACCCCGTGAGAAAATAGTCACTTTTCTCACGAGGTGAAACTCCACCTCTGACCCACTTGACCTAATTAAGATTAACTTAATTAGGTCAGGTCAATTTCAGGTCAGGTTTAGGGTTTGGAAAAGTCAATGCAAAGTCTTTGTGAAGATGGAGTGGTAATATGTTTGTGTGCGATTTTGTGTGTGTGTTTGTGCGAAGGATGGACTTCAGCACCAGGCTAATGATGTGGCAGGAGCTGGCGGTGAGCTGTGGCTTCACTACGTTACATCAGAGCCTGCAGCAGGTGTGGCAGCTTCTTCTTCTCTGTCTCGTCTGCAGAGTCTGCTTCAGGCTAGGTTGGTATAACTGCTTCCTATGTTAATATTTGTATAATTACTCACATTTTACTTTTAATTTGCCGTTTCACACCTGTTCCTTTCCCCCCCCCTCTGTGTAACACATAAACAAGGACCCTTTGACATCCCATATTTATCATCTTGATTTGTCGTCTTGTTTCGGTTAAGACTGAAAAAAATGAAGGGAAAAATGCTCAACCAATACATCTTGCCTTAATTTGAGCAGCATTTTACAATTCTTTGTATTTAAATTATGTAACAAATCTAATGTCTGTAATCTCTATGAGTTATTTAGAATGCAGTCTTTTTTTAATGCTTTGCTGTTTCCATCACCCAGGAGTCTCATCAGCGGTGAAGCACGTCGCGTCCACATTGATCGGGATGTATGGCCTGTTCCTGTTCCTGGAGTTGCACATGGTGTGGGTGCTGCTGCTCAGCATCATCTGTTACCTCAGTCTCCTGCTCTGCAGACACTCTAGCAACAAAGGCCTCTTCCTCTCAGTGGTTATCCTCGTCTACCTTCTCATTGGGTGAGGGAACAGGGCACAAAACAACACAGTTTTTTTTTTTTTTTTATGGTTAAAACACTACTTGAGCTCTTTGTGCTTTAGTAGGAGCCGCAGCCGGTCACACCTGCCGAGTCTTTAACATTTAAATAAATCGGTAGACGTAAGATTGAAGGTGCTTGCTGCTGTGTCCCGAATCAGATGTTCTTTTACAGTGTTTATTTGTATTGCGCATTTAGAACAACAGCAGTTGACCAAAGTGGTTCATAATTACACCAACCATCACAACATAAAACACAGGCAAAAACAATAACAATAAAACACTGAGAGATATTAAACAACAGAAAACCAGCCGAATAGAAGAATCAGAAAGGCAGCAACTCAAGCTGTGTTAAAAGCCAGTGAGAACAGGTGTGTTTTGAAAAGAGATTTGAAAGAAGGACTTGAACATGTCCACATATTTGTGAGAACATTCCTAAGGAAAAAATAAATCTGGAAAATGTTCTCCATTCATCTTCCATGAACTGCATTTATATGCATCTTCAGTAAATCTGTGCTTATCTACTGTATCTCTCTCTCTCCCTCTCTAACTATCATGTAAGTTTTTCCTGACCAAGCGTAGTCTAATGCAGCCTGGAGCTGGGGGAGTGTTTCTACTCTGACATCCAGACCAGGTCAACAACTTTTACTCGGTGATGACTGGATTTGTGCTTGATGTCAGGGGTTAGGGCAGTAAGCGCTTAAGCTACTCGTACCTGCTGCTGCTTGCAGGAGAGCAAACTGCTTCCATCAAAATGAAATTCAACACATTAAAAAAAAACAACAAAAAAAACGCAGATATCATTGCTGCCTTGGCAGGTTTTTGCCATGTTTTTCTGTCTGTAGCTGAGTGAAGCTGACAGCCCACCCATGTGAAAGATTTCAGCAAATGGACCGAGTGGTTAGTGCTCCGTTTGTGCTGCTTTGGTTTCTGAGATATTAAAAAAATATTTTTTAGTTCATCCAGATGTTAATCGCTATTAAAATTGTCTTTTTTGCAGCTTTCTTTTATGAGATATTATAAATTAAGCTTTCAGCTGTTAGCATCCTTTCCTAAGGGCTAATTAGCTTTGCAGAAATAAAGTGTCTGAAGTTTAAAGTGCAATATGAAGGATAGAGATTACTTTGAAAGTTTGAAAGAATTGTCTTCTTGATTTATTTCAGAGAGTTGCATTTTTTTGACATGGGAACCTGGAATAAAATACGAGGTAAGTACAAAATGATTCATATCCGTGAGAAGTTCAGGTTCAAAGTGATTTGTCAATGTTGTCATGTTTCTTCTGACTGTAAGTGATAAAACTCAGAGCCACAGTCCAGAACTGAATCTCACAGAGAACGGGTGAGAAATGTACGTTTACAGTGATGGCAATGAGGCCTTCCAATCTCAAAGTAAAATAATAAACATTTTTCACATTATATTTGTCATTAACTTGTAAATACAATTCTAATTTCAACCTGACTTTCTGTTATTATAATATTGTCTTATTATAAGTAGACAGTTGAAAGAGTTTTTGCTAAATTGTGAAATATACCACAGGTTGTAAAACAGTTCGTTCTTGTGCGAAAGGAGGGTAATTATGACAGTGTGCTTGTGTCAGGTTCTCAGATGGTGGTGGCCATGAAGGTCATCTCGCTGGCCTTCGAGCTCGACAGAAGAAAAGACAACAACCTGCCATGCCCTGCTGAGTTCCTTGGCTATGTTTTCTTTGTGGGCACTGTTGTGTTTGGCCCATGGATCAGCTTGTCAAGTTACAAAAATGCACTTAATGGTCCAAAACTGGTGAGTTTTTTTTCTTTTTTTAAAATTCTTATTTACATCTGTGTTTTTGTTATTGATTGTCATAGTTGGTGATGACTGAATGGTTCATTTCTCAGAGCTACTTGTGGCTGTATAGTTCCCTCATCAGACTTGTAAAGAGTCAGATTTGTCTGCTGGTGTCGACCTGCATCGCTCCGTATCTTTTCCCTTTGTTCGTGCCGATATATGGGAACTCTGTCACACAAAAGTAAGTAATGCATTTATACAAATCCTGTTGTTTGTTTTTTTGTTTTTTTTTTCCAAAGCAATAGCCTTAAAAAATCTCTATTTTTTAAGGAACACTGTGTCTGTCTCTTTCTGCTTCCAAGATGCAATTGAACGGGGTAAGGCTTCAACATGACATATTCGATTGCATTTAATTTTCATTCAGTTTGACACTGTGACGACAAGACATCATTGTCCAAAGGAATCTCATTTCACAGTTTAGTGAAAAAATTTTAACAACAAAAAAAGTGTTGGTTGCCATGACAACTGCTGTGTGTGTGGAGTAAAGCTGACACACGGAGACAAAGAAAATAATATAAGTGGTTATTAGTTGTTCTTCACCTGTTTGTCAGCATAATGTTCCCTTTGCTCTGGTGCACTGTAATTTCTGAAAGTTCATTAAACTGTACCGGCTCTTTGATTTGTTGAACATCGCGATATAACAACCATCAAATAGGAAAAAATATCATAAAGTAGTTAACAAACCACATCTCCTTCAGCTGCAATTACCGGTATATAAATTTCAAGTAACTATCCAATATTAAAAAAATGAAATTTATTTAGTCCTCACTTGCAATTTCACAGAACTGACCAGAACCAAAGTATTTATAGATTTCTGTCAAGGGAGAAAACACATTTTACATATCCAAGTATTGGCAATTTTCTCAGCTTTATTTTAAGCCATATTTGATAGAAGTCGGATAAGAAATAAGGGCATCTTTTGTGACAGATTTGTTTCATCCTGCATCAGAATGGAATGGTTTTATGGACGATGCATAGTAATGGCGCCTGAAGTTGCTGTCCAATCCAGTCAGCAATCAATCAGTCAAGCATATTTGTGTGGCAAATTTCAGCAACACAGCAGTTCAAAGTGCTTCACATCATAAAAACACAAAAATACAAAGTCATAAAAGACACCATGTTGTTCCTTCTAGATTTCCCTTCTAGAAATGTTAACCTCCTTTGTGTCTCCTTATGGCTTTCCATTACTTTAACCAGAGCATCCTTCATTTCTAAGCTCAGTATCTCTGTCTTGACTACCTGTGCTTTGACTTTCATTGGCCCATCTTCGAGTTTGTTGATTTTCTCAGTGTTAGTGGATGTATTCCAGTAGATTTCACTTTTTAATGCCTTCAACTCAGTTTTTATGTCTTCTTTAATTTCTCTTTAATTTCTTCTTTTAATTGTTGAAAGTCTTGTTTGTTTTCATTTTGGAATTTGTGTAGTTCTATCTGTATAGCTTGTAGGAACAAGCTAACGTCTTGCTTGTGATGTTGCTGATCATCCATTTTTACTGGTGTGTTTTTACTGCGGAGGCCGCATAGTGGTGGCACAGCCAATTCATGTGAATTATGGGTACGTTAAGGGTAAAATTCCTTGTGCTCACTAGAGTTCTGGATGCACATTGTGTTACTTCTTGGTTTCCCTTCATGTTGTATTTTGGTAGTTTCACATTCCCCTATCCCTTGATATGTTGAGGTGGTTAGGCGTTGGGTCGTGGGTCTTCTTCCCCAGAGTCAAAGCTCCTCTGTGGGACTTCTTCATCTTCAGAGACCCTCTATGGGTCTCTCTCAACTCCAGTGTCTCTACATGGGTCTCCAGCGCCTCTATCTATGTGGGTCGTCTTCCCCAGCTCCATCGCCTCTATGTGTGTTAAAATCAGCTGAGTTGTATTCCCCAGGATTCAACGGGACTTTAAAGACCGTTAGCTGATGCTGGCCTGCAAGCTTCAAGCTCCTCTGATGCCAACCTTTAGAGAATTGGCTATGCCACATTTCTGCTGGCATAAAGCTCCTCCAGTGCCACAGTCCTGTGAGCCCCAAGTTTCTGTGGGTCCCAAACTCCTGCGCTGTTGGATCTTCAAACCTCTGGGTTCCACTGGCCGAAAGGTCAACCCCGAGGTCCTCTTCATGGGTTCCTCTGCCTTCACCGGCACCCTGTAGACTTCAAACTCCTTCGTCGCCGGCCTCCAGCCTCTCTGCTCCTGGGCAGCTCACTGTGGCCATTGTGAACTTAATAGAGCTCTAGTTTTGTCCTTCGAAGATCCCTTCCGCCCTCGTTGGTTGGGAAAGTTTTTTTTGTTTTGTTTCTGCTCCCCAGTATTTATACAACTTCTTCTCAGTCACTTGGTTCTTCCATTAAATCCTGTCACTTCCTCTTTCATCCTGCTGTCCTTCCTTCTGGATTCTTTGTGTTTTTTTTGTTCTGCTCCGTCTCACTACGTTCCCTATGATTTTTGTAAGTTTTTTTTCTTCATTTTTGTATAAAAGCTTCGTCACCTCGCCGTCTCTCCCTGACTGTATTTGGGTCGTCCACCAGACAACATGACAAGGCCTTACCCTAATATTAAAAAGAATCTTTATTTTACCAAAAATCAAGCCATTTCTCTGCTTGTTCCATTCCAGATTTCTATGTGTTTTCCTTCCTCTTTGGCATTTTACTGTAATGTCACAAATATTTACTCCTGCATTTTTTTTTGCATTTTTCACAACAACTACAAAAACAAACTGGACTATTAAAAGCACATAAAAAAAACCACTATTGGTGCTGGGGTTTACATTAGCATTATTTTTTGACAAATATTCTTTTGCGTTAGAATAGATGACCTGAGTGTTTTTCTTAACTGTTCTACTTCTGCAAAAACATTGTTTGAAATGAAAGTATTGTCAGATTTTCTGTGCTTCATTGAATTTATTTTAAGTTCAAAGTGCCAAGTGTTTGACGTTGAGGAAGAAGAAGGCCAGCTGAATATATGTGTGCCGTGCAGGTGGCTGCGTGCTTACGAGAATGCAGTGTCCTTCCACTTCAGTAATTACTTCGTGGGTCATCTCAGCGAAGGCACCAGCATGTTGGCAGGAGCAGGTTTCACGGAAGAAAAAGACAACATCCAATGGTAACTTTCACAAAGCTCAGCTGCTGGACTTATCTAACTTGCAGTGGAGTGTTTGTGAAAAGTCGAACTCGGTAGAATGTATTTATTTCGAATCACTCTTTGTACTTTTTATGCAGGAATATGAGGATAGTGAAGCCCCTGAGTGTGGAAATGCCTCGCTCCATGGTGCTGGTCGTGATATCATGGAACATCCCGATGTCTCAGTGGTTAAAAACCTGTGGGTCTTGGCGTCAATCACTCAGTATTACTAGATATTATTGTTGGAGTCAAACACACGCAACCTTTTTCAAACCAGTACAGTGGTGAATATGTTTGGCTTCATGGTTTAACTACCTTGATTTCGAAAGCTAATCAAGAGAGTTAATCTTTAATTAACTGTCTTGATCAAGGATTAAGATGGTTCTGATACTGCTGAATCGCTTAGTAGCATCTCATTTGTCTCAGAGTTAGAATTCACATCTCTTGGAAGACAAACAAAGAGCTGTATTTGTTAAATAATTAGTTTGAATGTGTTCTTTTCTCTGTCTTTCTCAGATGTGTTTAAGACCTCCGTGAAACTGGGAACCTTCCCTGCAATCCTTGTGACATACACAGCCAGCGCCCTCCTGCATGTCAGTCACAGAGGCATTTTTCTTCGTTCACAAGTGTCTGGTGTATGAGATGGACGAAACTAATTTCATACAAAAAGTTATGGACGTTTGTGTGTGTGTGTTTGTGTATGTGTGCACTGTACTGTAATTCCTTATACTTGAGGTTTTTGTCGTCTTACTGGGCTGGATAATTTTACTGGGATTGATGAGTTTAATTTGTTGCAAACGCAAAAGTCTTACAGGAAGGGCAAAAGTGTGTGAGACTGTAACACGGCCTCTCCATAAGCAGGAGCCTTCACTCTATGAATTAGAATATGAAATATTAAATACTTTCTGAAACAGTACATCATCTTTAACTCCAGTTTGATTCCTTTTGGATTAAAGAGTTAAAAACTGAAAGTTTCTTCGGCTTTAATTTTTATTTTGCATGTTAGCAGACCAGAAGACTTAAATTCAAACAGCTTCTGTTTGAATTTAAGTCTTCCATCCATCCATCCATCCATCCATCCATCCATCCATCCACCCACCCGTCCGTCCGTCCGTCCGTCCGTCCGTCCGTCCGTCCGTCCGTCCGTCCGTCCATCCATCCGTCCTTTCCTTGAAGGGTTTTTGGAAGTGGCAGGTGCCTATCTCCAGCGGTCAAAAGAAAACAAAAACTATCTTAATTGCAAGACTAAATTTAGTTGCAAGAAGGAAGTAAATATTGCTCTGCATCTTTCATTTCACTTCCTTTCTTATTTAGTTATTTTAACTGCTTGCTAGGCCTATATTGTCAATTGAAAAAAAAACATATATAAGAATGATAAAAATATAGAAGGATAATATAACTTCAGTCTATTTGCTTCTTCAAGGAAGTTGCTGAATAGTTGAAGCTGTTTATGTGCTGTTGTTTTCTTCAGGGCCTGAGTTTTCACCTGGGAGCTGTTCTGCTCACACTGGGATTCATCACATATGTTGAACACGGTACGTAATCAAAACTTTATGGCAGCCTCGTAAATGCAGGATACATTCATCTGAAATGAACTTCTGCATACAGGAAGAAATACTTGTACATGACACAAAGGCACTGTCAGGTTTTTGAGGTGCTTTGGGGTTTGTTTATGCTCCTTAGTCTGGTATTTTGATTAGATCAGCCTTGTTTCTATTTTAGTGCCATCTGCTCTCTCCCCTCAGACCTACGACCTGGTAGTCAGTTAATCCTTTGTTCCAGTATTCACACTCCCAGTATTTATTCATTGCTCTTTCATTCCTCCTTGTTGGTTCCTCTTGTTTACTTCCCTGTTCACCCTGCTGGCTTTTTGTTTCCTGATTCCTGAGTTTTTTTTTTTTTTGTTCTGCTCTGGTTCCCTGCATTCCCTGTGATTTTTGTACATTTTTGTTAAGCATTTTTATTAAACTTTCATCACCACTTGCTACTTCTGCCTCTCTGCTACATCAACATTCAACACCCTTCTATACTCAAATTTGTATTAAATGTAATAATTACTTCTAAGTATCTAAGTACATTTTTCCTCGATGTCCCTTTACCTCATATTCCTAAAGTCCAGCACTTTTCTTTTGCATAAATAAAATGCCATTTCCTTTTAGCTAATTGATGAATTAATGATTACCCTTTTTTGCCTGTTGTCAGTTCTGAGGAAGAAGCTTGCATACATCCTTAGTGCCTGCATTCTGTCCAGGCCCTGTGCGTCTGACTGCAGCCATCGACACAAGAAGGTGCGCTCCTACTGTTATTATTATTGCTGTTAAATTAACTAAAGAAAGCAGTTACATTTCTAAACATGCAGTGCTATCCATGCATTTTAACTAACTAACCAAAACAGGAAGAATATAATGTTGGTGCATTATACTGATGCATCAGTTTACCTTAAAAAAGATGATCAAATTACGGTGCTGGTGGTTTGACAGAATCAGCAACATTCTTTATTCATAGTGTGAGAAACACTTATTATCAAAAGCTTTTGTGTACACAGAATGAAAGCACAATAGTTAATCTTTTTAAATCATGTCAGTGACACTTTAAGTGTGAACATCACAAAGCCCTGAGAAGTTGTAGGCAGATCTGAAAAGGCATATGCGAGTTACTTACAAACTTGACTGACTAGCCCCTGTTGGTTATTCGTAAAACTGACCAAATGTATGTCAATGAAGTTACAAAAAAGAAATCTTAAAAAATATATATTGTTAAGTTTTCTAGAATTTACCAATTAGAAATAATTTTAGTATTTCTAACTAAAATAAAACAAGAGACGTTTGATCTGAGGAAGAGGAAAAAGAGTATAAAAATGTGTTTTATTTCTGGGTCCAACGGTATGCACACACAGAAGTATGTACTATGTTGTTTATAGCACTTAGACTTAGTTTACAGTTGGTGATATTTACGTTGCATATTAACAGCTCATGAAAAGTTCCCAGATGCTGGTATTGAACACAGATTCAGTACACTGGCACACTTTGGTTGTAGCTGTTTGGATTTTTACTGCTGAATTTCGAACATTGATTCTTATTTCCAGTTTCTGCTCTGCTCTTCAGACTGCCTGGGTGCTGTTGCTGAATCTAGTGTTCAGTTTGCTGGTCATCTTCCATCTCACCTACTTGGGCTCCATGTTTGATCCTGGATCTGATGAACAGGAAGTAGAAGAGGTAAACAATTCTGGTAGATTCGCATAGGATCTTGATGATGGTGATAAAGAAGAACAGTCTCATTATTTTGTTTCCATTTCTTTGTATTGTATTGTATTGTATTGTATTGTATTGTATTGTATTGTATTGTATTGTATTTATTTGTATAAGATCATCTCCAGGCACAGTGGATTTTCCCCTCACAATCTAGACAGATAACCTCCGTATTAACTTTTTCATAAAAGACAAGCTTTTAAGTTGCTTTAATAAATAAAGAACTTTTATGTAAAGATTGTATTTAGAAATTAGGAGAGTGGAACCGTGATTTTATATACAAGTCAGCTTTTTGTTAGCATACTTTAGAATTGCTGAGGGAATTGTTTTTGTTAGAAAACAAAAAAAAAATGTATTTTTTGTTTTCTATATTTAATGAAACGGTAGAACATGGAAACTTAGAGCAGACATCTCAGCCAGGACTGACCTCCACCCACGTTTTTGGAAGAGAATTCAATTTGTACATGCTGTTTTAGCAAAAGACCAAATAGTAACACGCCTGTCCTATCTTTCTAATTCTTAATGCCAATGCTCTGATATTGAGGGAAGAATATGCTGGCACATTTCACCCCAGCCTGTTTTTATGAAACTTCATACTCTGTGAGATCTACACTGAACACCAAGTCAATCAAGTGTCTTTACTCTTTTTCAGACATAATTGTACACAGAATGAAAGCACAATAGTTTTCTACACCTTGGAGAAGAAGGTTGAGATCCGAATTAAACCGTAATATTTGTTATTTCTGTTTAAGGGTTACGCAGCGATCCATACCATTCAGAGGTGGTCCGAGCTGAACTGGGCAAGCCACTGGGTCGTTTTTGCTTGCTGGATTTTCTATCGTTTAATTTAGTGATCTTGTTGTAGTAGATTAAAAAAAATCATCATTAAAACTATTTTACACAAAATATCTTGAATTTTGATATTTTTGTATCAATCTGCATCCATGTGAGTGAAATAAACTATAAAAACGAGGTTCTGTAATGAACATGAATTGTGTAGTTCACACCTAAACTCACGACACAAAGGCACTGTGGATTCATGAGTGCCTCTAAAGGGTACTGACCACAAAAACTTAACATACAAATATGTAAAGTTTTTAAAACTACTGTAAATATTAATGACCTAATCTTGCAAATCCTTCATCATGTTGTCACAGTTTATTTTCTTAAACTGGTCCTGTTCACTAACTGTTTGCATGTTTCTTTTATTATATTTTGGATATTTTTTTGCATAGTCCATGAGAATTTCTGTAAATGTTCAGAGTCTTTGTGACAGTGTAAACAATAAAAGTGTCCTGTGAAAGTGTTCATGTTCTTTTTTGCTCTTTAGTTAACTTTATTTATATAGAGCAATTTAATAATAATAATACATACATACATACATACATACAATTTTTAGAGCGCTTTTTAGGACATTTAAAGATGCTTTACAAGAGAAAAATAACACTCACACATATATACATAAACATACACATATAACAGTAACAATTGAAAAGGAGGCTGTGGTGGATAGGCGAGATTAAACAGGAAGGTCTTGAGTAATAATTTGAGGATACGTAGAGTCTGGAAGTCCATTTCTGCCACTGATACTTTTTTATTAAAAAAATCATCTCATCATACTGAGATAGATACTCTGAGATGCTGCATTTGCCCCCCAAAATTCTCTTAACAAATTAGAGTACAAATGGTACCAATTCTTCTCAAACATTTAGAATTAACTAAAAAAAGTAAGAAATTGACCAGAGTTTAATTTCTGTTACAATATATTGCATAAGAGTAGCACATTCTTCCAGTGGGTCATATTTGAAGAAACGGCATTTATGTAAATAGTCTTTACCTAATATAATCAGAATATTGTCACCATATTCGCTATTATCAAACTCAAGTTTGTATCAGAATCAATTTATATCTCAAGTTGTTTCAAATTATCAGTAATATAAGATCATATGTCTTGTCTTACTATATCCTGAAAAAGTAATGGGAAAAATCTAAGAGAAGTATAAACCCATTTTCAACAGTCAAGTTTGTTGTGTTTTATTCAGCATAAGCCAAAGATTTTATGCCAGGTGAGACCAGACACAAGTTCTATTCACTCATTCATTAAGAAATAAGTAGATTATTAGTTATGTGTAAAAAAAAGATTTAAAGCCCAATGATGCAGTGTAAAATACAAACTCATTTTGAAACAGATACAGTTACTACAAAGAGTCGGTCACTGTCCAGCGATGCGCTCCACCCAGCACATTGTACAGATGACGCAGGGTGAAGGAAGTAATGGAGCACATAGCACACTTTCTGCTTTCTGCCTCAGTCTGCACCCTCTCTAAAGGGAACTGACCTGTTATCAGTTTATCCAACAGACTGGGGGGCAGCAGTGTGTGTGGATTAAAGAGAGCTGGTGAAAAAGTATAAGTTTGTGATTGTTTCGTACTGCCATTCAACTATACTGACTGATTTGTCTTCCTCTGTTGAGCTGCGAGGTCGCTTCGGTACGACCAATAAACTTCCACTGGCTTGCTCTCAACCTACCTTTTCCTTCGTTTATCTCGAACGAGCCAATAGCAGAGCGTATTTCCTGTCCCTCTGCTTTTGCACCAATGATTTGGCTAAGAAATGCAGCTCGTCCAATCAGCAACTGCTAAGATCCGTGGTGGAGGGCGGTCTTAGCCACTGGCGTTTTAATGTATTTTGGCGGTTATGCGGAAAACATGGCGCAAATTTTGAAAGGTACTGTATCATGAATGTTGTTTAACTGTGTTTTCGGGATATCCTCATATTTGCTCGTTAGGAAGTCGTAATGTGAGAATTCTTGTTATTCTGCTAATCCACGGGTCGTCTTTGTGTCAGAACTTTACTGTCAACGTTGTTTTTGTTGTGCAGAGTATCTTCCTTATCGCGAGTGCTGGATTATTCAAATTACTTGCGCTTCTTCATGAATTCGGTTGTCAAGTTTTAATACGAGTTAAAATGTGTGTTTAGAGAAGCATGTTGCCATGTGTGTGGGATGTTGGTGTGGAAGATTGTTGTGAAAGGAAGAGGGACAGAACGGCCTGAGATAAAGGAGAGCTCCACGCGGGAAGCAGCGCCTTGAAAACGATTAAATGTCTGTGGATCTTTACTTAGACGTACCCGGGGTCACATTTAGACTTACAAGTTATATTTTGATCTGTTTTTGAAAATGAGTCAGTTAGCTCAGCCAGAACAGTAAAAACAAACATTTCTCCCAATCCTTTTCTAAATAATGAGCTGTGTGTTTTTTTTCTCTCTCTCTCTCTCCAAAAAGCCAACACTCTCTTGGATTATATGGACACATGTTCAAAAACATCAATAAATTATGTCCCAAGGGTTCTGTTATTGTTGTAATTTGCGCTTTTGAATTCCACTAAAACCTTGCATTTTGCGTTGCCGTCTGCATTTAAGTCCATCTTTTTGATTTTTGCAGATTGCTGCGTACCTTGCAAGATAACTTCGGATGAGCTAGAGGCGCTTTGCCGTGGGGAGAGGCTGTACTGTCAAGAGCTTAATGTCAACAGAGCCAATGTCAATGACTATGAAGTGGAGTTTCTCTGTGATTACAAGAGGACCAGGGAGGTATGGTATTATTATTTTAGCAATAAATATAACTAGTTCTGTACATTTTTCAGTTTTTTTTATGTCAAGAAATGAGATGCATTTTCTTAATATTTTTTTTTCATTAACTGATTTACAGAAGATATAGTTTAGCCGGGTTTTACTTATATATCCATTCTTTTTTTATTTCCCAGAAAACCAACACATGAAACTACAAATATTGTCTCAAGTTTCACCTGATTTATTGCTAAAGTGTCTTATCTTGTCCACACCTTTTGTTTTGAAACCAGTGTAGAAAAGCATACTGTCAGTTATTATGACAGTATGCTTTGACTGAGCTTAGCTATGCTGTAAAGCAGCAGTATCAAAAAACAAGTTATTAGAACAGTAAATAATTCAATATAAGTAATCTAAACTTGGAAAAAGTAGTGCTAAAATTGCACAATGTCTGTGTTTGCGTGCAAGTAGGCAAAAAACAAAACAAAACAAAACAAAAACTCTTGATTTCAATTTGTAAAATCTGTTTTCATTAGAGGACTGCTTTTTAAATACCCTTTAGAATGATAGAAACAAATTCTAATTGGATAAAATAATTAGAATTGTTTTATCCAATTAGACACCCTTAATTTATTAACTTTTTTTAAAACTGATTTGTTTATGTAAAGCGCCTCAAGACATTTGTTGTGAATTGACAGCACATAAATATACTGAAAATTGTAATTGAGTCATCTCTCTTTAACTTGGAGACGGATGTGCAGATCAGTTTTTGGGAGGACTATCTAAAGTTTTTGTGTGTTTCAGGGAGAAGAGTTCTACTTTGTTAAGTGGAAAGGCTTCTCAGAATCTGTCAATACGTGGGAACCCAAAAGGAACCTCAAATGTCCAAAACTCATGAAACTCTTCCACCTGGACCTGGATCAAATCCTGAAGCGCCAAAAGGGGCGTGGCCTCCCCAAGAGGTTGGATAAAGAAACTGTCTCGATCCTGATTCAGAAAGCCAAACTCCGTCAGAGTCTGCATCAGTGGGAAATCCATTTAAACAAGACTCGCAATCACCCGGGCCGCATTTTTGTCATAAACGAAGTGGACCTAGACGGCCCTCCAAAACACTTCACCTACATTAACAACTACAAAGTCGGTCCAGGCATCGTGATCAACGAAATGGCCGTCGGCTGCGAATGCACGGACTGCGTGAACGAGCCGGTGAATGGCTGCTGCCCGGGGGCCTCGCTCCATCGGATGGCCTACAACGACAGGGGTCAAGTACGGATCCGGCCGGGACAGCCCATCTACGAGTGCAACTCCAGATGCAGCTGCGGTCCCGACTGCGCCAACAGAGTGGTGCAGAAAGGCATCCAGTTCGACCTGTGCATCTTTAAGACGGAGAACGGCCGCGGCTGGGGCGTCCGCACGCTGCAGCACATCAAGAAGAACACATTTGTCATGGAGTATGTTGGAGAGGTGAGACCTGCTCAAATGTTGTTGTATTCTTTGAGTAAACTCGGGTTAAATTTTTTCTTAGGTAAACCTGTGCCCTGTGTGTTGCTCACTAAGTACAGCTTAGCTAATAATTATATTCCTGATGTGATGATGAAATTAAGCTATTCTAAAAAGAGCTGTTTTGTCAACAGATGTAGCTCAACAAAGCTAGGTTGGTGTTTAGTTTCCTGTTCGTGTTGCGGTGAGGAGACCTGCAGTGTTCTGCGCAATATGGAAAGCTTATTTATGTAAGGTCAGTGTTTCCCAACCCTGGTCATTGTGGCACACTGCCCTGCATGTCTTGGGTGTTTTCCTGCTTCAACACAGCAGAACTGCACTCATCTGAATCACATGTGTTTAAAACGGAGAAGCATCTACAACATGCAGGACACTGTGCGCCAAAGGGACCAAAGTGCTGTGCAGAATGCATAAAAACAATACAAATGCCATTATAAAGACACAAAAACATAAAACAGAGAAATAGAAAATAGTCTAAAAATACATTCCCATCCATGTAATAAAAGACTACGAAAATGATATCAACATCTTGCATGGTGTCGAAGGCCTCGACAAAGAAGAGTTTTAAGAAGGGATTAAAAATCAGTTCTCTGGTCACTTATTCCACATTTTAAGACCTGTCACAGCAAAGGCACGGTCCTTCCTAAGCTTCTGTTTTGTGTTGGACACAATGAGGAACAGCTGATCAGCAGGGAGCAGGAGGGCAGGATAATGGTGCAGTAAGAAGCAAAGTCCTGCAGGGCCTTAAAAACAAAAGATCTGCAAAATGAAAACAAAAGATCTGCAAAATGAATCAAATGTAGGTGAAGCCTATGGAACTAAATCAGTCTCAAATTTATATGTGTGCAATCAGATCCACAGGCCTACAACAACATTTGTAAGTGTACAACACAATTCACAAATGTGCATAACACAATGCATAAAGTGTGCACCTCAGGATCCACATATGTGCTGCAATTTCTCAAATTTAAATGGCCTGTTATTGTATCACGCTTTATCAAATCCAGAGGACCCCCAAAGTGCTTTACACTACATTTACACACTGGTGTCACCAGTGGTCAAATTTACAGGTTTCAAACTGACACGACACACAAATGAGCTGACACGTTCAAGGCTGTTGGTGACCTGGGATATCTGAGAGTTGTGATTGTAATGCTGTGTTGAAGGCAGTTGAAAGGCTTGGAGCGTCAACAGATTTAATAGAAATTACTCCGTCCTTTTGGCGTTGCCAAGTAGCATAAAACCATTGTAGTAAAGACATGCACTTCTGTCAAAGTTGCTGGACTCGACAAATGTTAACTTTGTAGGCTGCACTACTGAAATGTACCAATTTAGGTGAAAATGTTCTTTTCCTGGAAAAATGCAAATTCAGTGAAAACTAACGAGAGCAGTGCAACGGTTTAGCCTCCATCATGGGTCAGAGTACACCCACTGTGGTCCATTTTCTGTATGATAGGTTTTTTTTTTTTTTTGTTTTTGTTTTTTTTTTAGGCTTTTTTGGCTCTATGTGTCATAATTACAAAATAAGATCTCATAATTGCGAAATTTGGATCTCATAATTATGTGATACCTGAAAAGATGCCATTAATGTCCGTGTCACTCATAGCCTGGGACTTCCACAGAGAACCAGTGTTTAATTGATTTTTTATTTTCTGAGTAAGAACATATTAAAACCAACAATGTTCTACATTCATCAAACTCAATGTTTCCCTCAGAAAACTTACTAAGCCGCTAAGCCCAGTGGCAGGTTCTCCACCAGCTGCCCGCCATGTTTTTGTTAAAAAAATAAAATAAAAATGTTGACAGGAAATGTAAAAATATTACTGGGTAATTATGCTACTGGAAGACATTGTATTAAAATAACCTATTCAGAATAAAAACAAGGCTTAGCCTGGCGGCCGCACATTGTGACTCTTTGTGGAATGGCTATTTTCTTTCTGCACTGTAAGTCAGCATTATGTAGCCAATAATGTAACAAAATCTGACTTCAGAATAATACTGCATCATGTGATCAAAGCAAAATGTAAAAAAAAAAAAAAATCCTTGAGCATATTTTGTGATAGTTTAAGCCACATTATGCAATAACATTATTGCATAATGCAACAATTATTAAAAATGTAGAGATTGCTCTTTTTAAAAAGTGATAATGTAATGGCCTACTAAATGATCGCAACGGTTGATTATCGCACAAAAATTACACTATAATTACATGAGGCGGTTTTATTACATGTTGAAGCCAGATCGTATAATATTGTCTTAACATATATAACATTATTTTATTATGTAAATATTTATGTGTAGTAAATTTTCTTATTTCTGCTCAATTTGCATTAAATTTAGATTATGTACTTCTTTAATTTAATGTTAACAGAATCATTCTTGCTTGGCGTTTATTGATCAAAGTTTAAAATGTGTGATCTAAATCATGACCATTAGAAGCATTCATTAAGATGAACACAAACCGGCTTGAAATTGTTAAATGGTCCATATTATTACACTGTTATGTCTTTTTTTTTTTTTTTTCCCTCCTTGGGTGAACGCAACACCCTTCTGTACATTCACACCCACATCCACTGTGAACACCTTCTCTTATAGTTGTACATTAATATCGCACTTCAGAAAATGGTGCATTGTCTCATGACAAACCAGTGCTACTGCTCTTGTTACTTTTCTGGAAGGTTTTAAACCTTGGTATATTTCAGCAGTGCAGCCTAGAAAGCTAATAGTTGTAGAATCCACTTTGAGTGCATATCTTTAATATAGTGGTTTTGTGCTGCTGGACCAAGTTAAAATTACAGTATTTCCAATAAATCTGGAAATACTCAGATATGTGAGCTTTTCACCAGCCTTGAACGCATCATCCCATGCGGTAAGAAAGTCGAAAGCGCAGGCAAGCTGATCCATGCGCGCATGTCGAGCGATCCGTCTGCAGCTGGTGATTCAGGCACGCATATTTTGGGGATTTGCCCACTGTATTACTCTCGTGCAGTTTGCAACGTGTACATTTCAGATACTGTTTCCACACATGTGAATGTTGAGGCATTTATGCGTTGTGTTACATGTTCCATCGTTTCCTCAGATCATTACGACAGACGAAGCAGAGAAGAGGGGCCATTTCTACGACTGCCAGGGCTCTACGTACCTGTTTGACCTGGACTATGTGGAAGATGTTTACACTGTGGATGCAGCTCACTTAGGAAACATTTCCCACTTCGTCAATCACAGCGTAAGTGTCTGCAGAGTGCGTTCACTCCACAGTCCAAACATCTTTTAGTACTTCTGTCTGCCAAATGAATAACTATAAGTGAGTGCAAAGGGCATAATTAACAATTAGTAATTGAGATCAAAATTACTAAGTACCTGATTTGAATTAGACTTCCTCTGAATGTCTGCTTTACTCCTTCTAAAGTCGACAATCAGTTCTGTCCAAACCTCTACAACGCAGCTGCAACCGTGTCATGTACACAAATAAAATGCATACTCACTCGATTGCTGATTATTCCTTTATAGACAAAAAGCATCCTCCTCTCTTCACACAGAAGCTCGTTTTCAACAAATCTTTTTCTGTGGTCTGTTCTTTCTCCAATGTGTTTTTCTCTTGTTGCCCCCTGTCGCTACTCACTGTGACGTACTGTCACAGCTCTGCCTCAACCCAGTCTTCTTTAGGCAATGCGTAAATTCAGCAGTTTTCATAAAAAAATAAAAATTCGGTAAATAAATAGTACGACCGATAAAAAACCCTCACTTATATAAAAGTGGACAAATTGATTTTCTCTCGTCATTATAAGCATCTATGTTACTTCACATGTACTCTTTGTGCTTGTAAGGGTTATACGTAGCAGATTTAATGACAAATCAACTCATTAAATCTGTGGAGCGGATGTTCAATATGCCACTTAATTTTGCTTTTCTGTTCATGGCTGTCTTAGATTTTGAGATTTTCATTTTCGTTAGTCTTAAACCCTTTTAATGGTTGTTTCATAGTTTTAGCTGCTCAATGTTGAGGACAAGTTGCAGTTCAACTTTAATAGCCATTTACATAAAAATATGCAGTTTTTGTTGTTGTGTTTTTTTAAAGGTGCTGCGGTATGATTTTCTTAAAAATACATAAGGGCATTGCTTTTTATTCTTGTGATATTTGAGCCTGAGGATCTTTTCTTTTTGTAGTGTAACCCAAACCTGCAGGTCTTCAATGTGTTCATTGACAACATTGACGAGAGGCTTCCCAGAATCGCTTTATTTTCAACACGGGCGATTCGTGCTGGAGAAGAGCTGACGTTCGACTACAAGATGCAAAGTAAGTATCACTCACTTTTGTATATTCTCTTATAGATTTTTGAAGTCTGCTTTTACGGGGGGAAAAAACCAAAACCCTCCGACTTTCTATGTGAGCCTTGCTTTCTTTGTTTCTAGTTGATCCAGTGGACACAGAAAGTACCAAAATGGACTCCAGTTTCAGTCTAGCAGGACTCCCTACGTCACCAAAGAAAAGGATTCGAGTGGAGTGTCGCTGTGGATCAGAATCCTGTCGAAAGTATCTGTTTTGACAGAGGACTGCAAAGGAAGTTGCCTTAAAACAAAGAAATGACAGCTGGAGTTAAAGTTTTTTTTTTTTTCTAATAGACCACTGTCTACTTCTGATATTTTCACATGGAAAAGTTTTAATACATACAGTGGTGTAGTTGTTTTCCACCATAAACTCCAGCTTCTGCTGTTAAATTTTGATTCTGCTTTAGTCTGCCTGTACAACTGAGTATTTTAAACCCTGCTTTAAAACGCAGTTTTACAGACTGTCAGCCTTAACAGCATTTATAAATGTTCTTCTGAGAGCAGTGACGGAAACCAAATGAAACAAAGATGAATTTCATTCCATCTGTTACGCTGCAGCTGTTTTGATTTTGGCATTTATCAACAGAATTGCTGAAGGGTAAATTCACAAGTCGTTGGAAGCTCTTATATTTGTGCTTGAAATGTGTTTGGACTTTAGATTGACATTAAATTTAAGTCATAACTGAAATGTTTTTGGTTTTTATAGCGCTCTCACAGGTTTAGACAAATTGACATTTCTCCTTCCTAAGAGCAGTGAGGAACAATGAAGGAAAACCTACAAGAAAGAACAATGGAGAAGTTAAACAGAAAGTATTTGTATGTGGAACAATTCAGAAAAATGTATGATTTACAATTTTAGGACATTGTGGACTCACCAAGTCTGTGGAATCAGAGGAATCAATATTCTATAATGACAAAATCTTTGTCATTATAGAAT